AAAAATAATAATAATAATAAGGGAGAAATGTGGGATTCACATATAAATCAAGTATAAAAATCAAACGAATATTCATATTTGACCTGATTGTTTATAGTTCATAATGCATGATCAAAACCGAAAGTGTCTGTGATGAATGCCCTTGTACTGTTCACCGTGTAAGAACTTATTCACTATGTAAGAATTTGTTCACCATGTAAGAACTTGTTCGTTATGCTTCAGAAGATTGGAGACTGTTGAGAATTAGGCTTGGGGTTGATTAATGATTGTGCATTGAATCCCCTATACAGAATTTTATTGTTGTTAACAACCATTCGATCAATAAATATGAGAGATGCCCTCTCAAAAAAAAAAGTCTATTGCTTGATGGACATGTTGAGTTTTGCTTTGTAGATCACAGCAAGATATGTCATCCTGATTAAATATCACTAATATAAAGCCCCAGTTGCACACAAAAAGTGCTTCACAGCTGTTGTTAGGTAGCTTTTAACCTCAGAACCTCGTAAGACAGGAGAATTTCTTTTATTCCCATTTGCTTGATCACTATCTTCTTTATTCTTTATTTTCTGCAGAGGCAGAACCTGTATTCTCAAAGGCAAAGGAGGACTTTAATTCTGTACCTGTACTTTAATTTGGGTGCCTGCTTTATTTAGGAACTAGCACCATGTGTCAAATCTATCATATGCCCAATGTGACACCTTGTCTCCAACACACGCTCCATGTGAGGTGTGGGGAAGGGCAGACAGCATTCCAAATCTTTCCTCTACACATCAGCTGTAAACAAAAAAATCACTCTGGAACTAAGAACCTAAACCGTGGTTTTAAAAAGTAAAACAAAGACGTCAACACCATTGGCGACCACAGCCCATTCAGCTGATCTGTTTTTTGATGAGCTGCTTTTATGAGTCACATCCCCCGAGGTAACAGGTCCTTGCCTTCTGCCACGGGCTCAAGGGTGGTCTCTTTTGAGGTTAGTCACTCGGTTTCACTTTAAAAAGATCAAAAGATGCAATAATTGAAGACAGAATTAGACACGCCAGGTCCAAAAAGTAGGTATCCCAAATTCAGCTTGTGTGGGTCCGCCTCTCCCCACCCCCATCTTCCATATTTACAAATTCTGAGTGTGTGTGTGTGTGTCAGATGATTCATCCAAGCTGCTCTGGGAGTCGTCTCTGCTGCCGACAGCAAAGCAGGTCCACCCTCTGCCCGCCCCTGTCCGGTGAAAACACAGAGTATCAGTCCTGTGGCCTGCTTAGCACGTCGGGGGCCTGCTTTATTCAGGCCCAGCGCTCTCAGGCGGCTTCTCCCCCACGGAGCTCTTCATCTGGTCACGTTTCCCATCATTCCATCTGCCTGCACCGCCCGAAGTGTGTGAGCCCTGAAAGAGGGTGAGAACCCACAGATCCCTAGGCCTCAGCAACTGCACAGCAGGCCCCCAACAGTCTCCTTGCTCTCTGGTCCGTACCCCCAGGAGACCAGATACCAGCCTGTTACCCGCCTTTGTCTGCGGGAGCCCTGCTCTCTGCCTGCTTCTCTGAGACTCTCCACGGCAAAGGGGCCCAAAATTCACATTCTTTGAACTTTTAGTAATTCTGATGTTGACTATATTAACAGATATTCTGAAGCTTCTGGGACCAGCAACAGGGTTTCTCTCTACGACGTTCTGGGGGATGGATCCGTGTTCTGAGGTTCAGGCTAACCACCCTAAAAACAAAAGTACTTTTGTGGGAATTGCCCTTTCCCTCTGCCTTCTCCATTCCCGCTAGATTTTCACATTCTGGAGGGAGGCCAGGCTTTATTTTAAACTGTGGGGTTTCCAGCTAACCCGAGCAGGCTCCCAGCTCTCTCTCCTTCCTCCCTTTCTTTCCCCTCCTGGCCTCTCCTCAATGACCAACTCCTCCAGGAGTATTTATGGACCGGGGTATCTGCTGTGACCTTGCGATCCATCACCCTTTGGCTTGGGGCACTTCTCTCTGACAGTCACAAGGATGGTTGGGGCTGGGGATCACCCAGACGCGGTGCCTGTATTTATAGAACAGGGCCTTTCCTTTCCTTCCTGGAGTTGTCTGTTAACACAGCCACTGCCATTTTCTCAAAAATTCCCTCTGGGAGATTGAGGATGGAGGCCCCCCAGTGCTCCAGAGGCAAAGGCCAGAGCTGTGGGAGTCAGGGCACCAAAGGACTGCTCCCCTCCATGGGGCAAACCCGAGGGGCCCAAGTTCATGGGCGTGGCTGCTCACGGAGAACGGTAACTCCCTCCGCGCCCTGGGGGTGCAGCCAGAGGCACCTGCCTGGGGTCACCTGACCCAGCCTCGGCGGGTGGGCGTCCTCACTGGCCTCAGAGCCTCTGCCTCACTGGCGCAGTGTTTAGGGTCTTTGAAATGCAGGCTGAGAAAGTGCTGTGAAGGTGAGAGACGGAACTGACCCGGTGTGTCCTGTAGCATGAAATCACTACTCGGATTAGACACAGAGAGGGGAAAAACCCGGGACTCCGGGAAAGGAGAGAGAGTGAAGCCGTCCGAATAAAGCTTGGGGGCGGCGCTCGTGAGCTGGGGCCTGCTTGGCCGCACCGGCATTCTTCGGGGACCGGATTGCTTCTTGTGCACAAGTTCTGACTCAGTGAAACAGTGAATCATCCGAGGGCAGAGCTGGTGCAAAACTAGTGCCCAGTAAGCCCCGCGAGCTCTCGTTCGTGGATTCTTATAAGCGACTTACTAGCACTAAGAAAGGTTTTTTGAAAATTATCATGATGATGACAGAATCCTACTGCAGGCAGGAACCCGGCGATTTTTTTTTTTTAATTTCTCTCCTTCCTCAGCCTAGAGAGTACAGTGCTGAGAGCAAGATCACTTGCTAGCTTTTTGTTAATTAAATGGTGATTATAATAGTTCGCGTCTGTCACATAGAACTTATAACCTGCTTAGGAATGACTTTGACTGGGCTTGAAGTGTTTCTCACTCTTTAAGAAAACAAAAAGAATCTCCTGAGTCTGGCGACCAGTCCGCCATGTAGCCCCCGGGAGCGTGTGATATGGTAGGTGGGGTTCTCCAGCATTAGCCGCGCCCCACAGCCACCGGGAGAGCTGAGTCCCGATTCAGCGGGTGTGGGGTGCGCACACGACTACATTCCCGAAGTCCTCCTGCCAGGCTGCCGGTGGGTGGCTCGAGGAACGCACTTGGAGAACCACAGCCGTCAGGGTGCATTAGAAATGTCTCAGGCTCTCTCACCTAGAACTTCACTTGAGAATTTAAGAGAAATTCTAGAAAATGGGCTCCCAACTCTCTGTGGACAGAACTGTGGAGAAGCCCCTGTAGACTTCTTCTCAGTGGGATCTTTGTCCCTGTTTCTGCACAGGGCCCACTTTCGCTGGCATTTAGAAGTTGGCAGCAGGGCACGAAGGTTGCCCAGGAACCATTTGGGGATCCCAAACTAATTTGCCTCCAGGGTCACCTCTTTGCCCATCTATTCTTACGTCTCCAGCCCAGATCAGAAATCTGACCATCACAGTTTCCTGTGTAAAAGCCATTTCCTCCAGCATAAAGTCCAAATTCCAGGATGCCTTAGCCTGGTTGGCAAACACGTCATGATGTGACACCTGCTTATCTCTTCAACTGGGCGCCGCACTGCCCCCCAGCTGCCATTGTTCCCTGAGGTGACCTCTCCCCTGTTCCTTTGCACCTGTTATTCCCTGGGCTTAGTGCCCTTTCTTTGCTGCCCTGTCTCAGCTGCATCCTGCCCACAGGGCTTCCCTACTAGTCCTCTAAGCGAAGCGAGCCTCGCTTGGTGTCCCCTCCCGCGTGGGCACCCCTCCCCTGGTGCAGAGCCCTCCTTACAAAGCTGCTCTCCAAAGGGCGTTACTCTGACTCACCCCACCAGGCTCTGCAGGGACCAGGCCGGCCTTTGAATCCCTAACACTACACACTCCACCTGGATGGCAAAAGCAACTTGGTGAAGGTTTGTTGAATGAATGGAAATTCCTGAAGACTCTCGTAGCAGAAGAGACACAGGCCAGCCTGGAATTCCTTCTACTTTGGAGACTTTTGATAAGGTGGGGGTGGGGAGGGGCTCTGCAGGGAGAGATGGGGGGAGGGAGCTGAGAGAGAGGTGGGTGCAATGCCAGCACTCCCTGCAGTAAAATCCACTCCTCCAGACGTTGTGTTCCTAAAGCGCAGTGGCGAAGGTGTGATCCAAAAGTGAGCAAATGAAGCTTTGAGGTAGACATTTAGGCGCTGGCCTCCAGCTGGCGGGTGGAAGTGGGAGGTTTGGCAGAAGAAGAAGTAGGAGCCTCCTGAAATTACCACCCCTAAGAGTGGCCTGCCCACCAGGTCCTTAGGTCCCGTATCCGCAGGCTCCCCTTCTCTCTGGCTTGGCAACACCTTTCTATGCCCTTTTGCCATTTGGAATCGAAAGCCTGACATGGTGGCAAGTTGCCTTGAGGTCTGGATTCTGTGTGGCACCTGAGGACATTAGACATCTTTTTTCTACACTTTGCATAGAAATCAACTTCAGTTTTGAAGCTATTTTTATATCTACAGGGTTGACTTATACACCATAGGATCGAGTTTATAATAAAAGAGCAAGGCTGGGAATCAGGGGGCCTGGCCCCTCTTTCTCCTCCAGTGACCCACTCGCTGCCTGCAGCCGGGCAGTTGTATTTTCAGCTTCCTTCACCATCAGGCAGTGCTTGTTAAGGCTGCCCACACGGGTTTATTTATGACCCTTTCAAACCAACCGCATAGCTGTTTTTCATTCCTAAGATTGAGCCTGAGAGAACTTGGACCCACTTCCTAAGTTGCCTCAGTGATATAACTCTGTGAACTGCAATGGCCAGCAAAGTATGATAAACAAAAGCAATCCTAGAGGGAGTTTCTCAAGTTCCAAATGTTTGATCTCAAAATCTGGCTGAATTTGTCAGCTGAAACCCCCATTGACAGAATATTTCTGGCTGACCTCGCAGCCCTCGGCACCAGCCACCCCCATTCTGAACACTGAGCTTCTCGGCCCATCTGCACAGATGCCTCCCCTGGGATAAGAGCCCATGTTCTTCCTGGAATCAATTTAAACCCAAAGGAGGCTTTAAAAAATACATTTAATAGTTGGAGAGTCTCTCTGGCCTTTTACTTCTGAGCTCATGCCCTCTGGGAATCGAGTGACATTTAGATTCCGGTGTGTAAGTTGTTTTTCTGTAGATTCGTTTTTGCATAAACATTCCTCTGCAAATTATTTTCACATTTTAAGGCAACTTCTTTCAAGTGTCCAGTCAGACTGATTTCTATGTGGTTCCCTTTGCCACCCCCAGCTCGGCTTTCTCACTCCCTGACTTCCCCATTTCTTAACGACTCAACTTCAAACAAATTCTGCTGCTCATTAAAATATTTCCCCAACTTTCTGGAATTTCCATTTCTCAGGGTTATCTCCCCAGAGCTGCAGCCAAAGCCGGGCCCATGAGGAGGGATGTGGCCAGCCTAGGTCAGGAGGGGGGTGCCATATTTGTGCCCCCCAGGTATGGTCGGCAGGAGAAGGGACCTGGGGACCAGCAAGACAGAGGGAGGCAAGGACTAGCGTCAAGTCCAAGCAACACAAGGGACAGCATCTAAGAGTGAGACACACAGGCAGCCACAGACAGAAAGGCAGGCAAATGACATCCTCCTCTTCAGCCAGCAACCGCTTCCCTTTGTGACAGGCCCAGAGTCAGCTCTCCTGTGCCTTCTCTTCCAACACCACCATTAAAGCTCTGGCTAATTCGGTGCCATTTTCCTTACATAGACCCTTCATCTGTCAGTTTTAAAACAGCCCCTTGTACCTAGAGGGTATTATGCTAACTGAAATAAGTCAAAGAAAGACAGATACAGTACGACTTCACTTATATGTGGAATCTAAAGAAACACAACAAACGAACAAAACAGAAATAGACTCATACATACAGAGAACAGCCTGGTGGTCGCCACAGGGGAGGGGACTGCGGGGATGGGCGAAATAGGTGAAGGGGGGAAAAATTTGTGAGACCGTTTGATATATTGATCTGGGGGACGTGTGTATTGAGTGCATACACATGTCAGATTCATCAAGCTGTACACAGATTTGTGCATTTTAGTGTATTACCTCAATATAAAATAATAATGATTTAAATTAATTAATTACAATAAGATAACTAGGAAAATAAAGAATGAGATAGGAAGCAACAGAAATGAATACATAAAACATGTCCCTGTATCCAGGCTCCTGGTGTCAGCCACGTGGGCGACATCTCCAGGGTGCGCCATTCACACAGACTGCAACCATCAAAATAAGAAGCCACTTCCTCTCTAGAACTAAAGAGACATTTTCTGTTTTTCCTTCTAGACTTTAAGAAAGGTAAAACGGTTGAGTGGGAAGAAGACCTGAGTACCAGTCCTACTGGGGCTATAAAATTACTATGTGGCCTTGGAGTGGTCCCTTTGCAATCCACGTGTGTCATCTGTGCAATAAGGGAGAAGGATGGATCTAGAGGGCCTTACCCTCTAGCAATATTTCCTGATCAGCAGGAAGTGATATTTCTTCAATCAGTGAGTTCCATGCCAGGGAGCTTTTGACTGGACATTTTCTTCCACTGTCCCTCTGGCATCTCAAACTGCTCAGCCCCCTCTGGCTTTACCTCTCTCGCTTTGCAAGGCTGCAGACTTTGAAGTCCAGTGAATCTGCACCTAACATGCCAATTCTCTTCCTTGATTTTCTGAGCTTGGCTCTTTTCTGCACCATTAAAACCAGAGGCACTAATTTGAAGAATTAACTGAGCAGGTCACTTGACGTCATATAGCAGCTGTGGCCCTTCAGGGTCTCATTTTTGAAAAGAAAACAGAAAAATTTTTAAAAAGAAAAGAAAAGAAAAAAGGTGGGCCAGATAACTTCAGAGGTTTAGGGAACAAAGTATTCCATTCCCCGTTTCTAGCTGCGGGGGCTGAATCAAGGCTCCTCCTGTGTTTGGTTCCGAATCAAATCACAAGTTGGCCAACATTGTCTGGCAAAGGTCCTGAGCCTGGGGGCTGTGGAGGAGAGCGAGAAACACTCCCTCCCCCAATGCCGGGGCAGTTCTGCCATGCCACGTCCCAAGAAGGAGGTTCCAGAAAGAAGCCTGTTTTTAGCTGGCTGCGTCCAGCAAGCCTGGGCCAGGAGCTCTGGTGGTGAGGACACAAGTGCAGAAACAGTCCTGCTGAACCTTGAAAGCGATTTGTGATCTAACACGTGCAAAATGAGAAAACGAGAGCAAGGCTTCACAACCCCTCAAGGTATAAGGCAAGTTAACTATTAATACTCAGGGCCCTACACTTGGAAAGTGATTGTTTTGAAAGTGTAGACTAGAGTGGGTTCAAGGTCATCTTTCACTACTGAGATTTTCTTTTTTTAAGACCTCTGCAGGAATCCCTCTAAAGGAGGGAATTGTTTAGGAAAATACATTGAAGGGACATGTAGGTTTTAAAAAATGGGACAGAGCCTGCAAAGACAGCTCTGCAGAAGGAATTATTGAATCGTTCTGTGTAATACAGAGGAAGGAATGTGTTTTTGGTGGTGGTGGTTGGAAGTAGGTAAGCCACGAAATTGAATTTAGTGTGGTCTGGACAATGCGACTGACAATCGCGACTCCAAAGTCAGTCACCTGGGCTCACATCTGTAAAACCCGCCATGATATACCTTTGCCGCAAAGCAAATTTAGAAATAAGGGAATTGGCTCTTGGATTCCATCTTTTCCTGACTCCCTTTCTCCACCAAGATGGGGCTAGGATTCTTTTTCTTTTAATTGTGGCAAAATATGTATAACATAAAACTGTATCAGCCATTTTTAAGTGTACCGTTCAGTAGCCTTATCCCATGGCTGTGCTGGGCTAAGGTTCTTACCTTCTCTCGGGGGAGGGGAGTGTGCAGGGTGAGGGGAGAGGCTGCACATCTCAGAAGACAGAGGGGCATTTGGCATCTCTGGTGCTCCCCCAGCCCATCTCCCTGATACCGTTTCACTAGGAGATTCCTGAAATTGCGCCTATCATCCTGGAAGTCCAGCTAACAGAGCAGGAGGCTGACCCTAAAGCTATTTAAGCCAGAGTGTTTGGTCACCAACAGGTGAACCGTGACACACACACGATGGAATTAGATGGCACAGCTGGACCCCAGGAAGGCCAGGCTCACCCATCATCTCATCAACCTCACAGTAATGCAATCCTGCATTTGGGGGGATTGAAAAATTTGATCCCCAAACATTTCTTATGGAGCGGTTTACTGTGTATGTAAGTATATAGTTAGGACCTATCACATAATAAACACTCAATAATACTAGATCTTACTAGGCATGTCCAATATTCAGATTCAAGCTGTCGCATTCCTGGGATGTTAACTTGTTCTGTGGTAGTTTTACTTGCACAAGATTTCTTCATTATTTGTATTATCATTATTATTTGCTGTTACTTTGGTGAAGATTTTTAAAAGATGCTAAGGTACATTTTTGAGTTGATGCAAATAGAGGGAGAGATAGCCATTAGATTCAGAGCGAAGAGCAAGAACTCACTGGAGGAAGGAAGCCAGGACCAAAGTTCACGGCAGGAAGGCAGGCTGCTAGTATCTGCAGTCGTGGGAGGGCATCGACCTTTGCATGAGCCGCGGAGCAGAGGTTCTGTCGATCTTAGCTATACCACCAAGTGTCATGGAGACCCAGAGGTGCTAGCTAAGCACTCATAAAGTTGTCTTACTTAATGCTTTCTTTAATAGAAGAGGAGGAATGCTCTAGGGGGGCTGCATTTTCTAGGTATTTCTGCTAAGGGAGCATGGTACAGATGAGCGTCATTCATGACACGCCCACAGGACAGACACTCTGAACCAGCCCACCTGAATTTTAACTCTGACTCTGCCACGTGCTAGCATGGGTCCCTGAGCACATTCACTGGACCTACGTTCACCATCTGTGCAATGGGGATATTAACACGTGGTATCCAGAAAGCCTGGAAACATAGCAGATATATATAACATCATCAAGGACATCTTCAACCTATAAAAATATGTTTATGGACATACTGTAGTACTGACTCCTGTCAGAATAAAAATTATGGAAGACTTGGAAATAGGCAAAGAAAAGCTTTAGCAAGTGCTCAGAATAGCTCACGCTGGTGGTCTCTCCATCTTTCATATTGGAGCTCCGTTTTAACTCTAAATTGCAGAAAACTGACACTAATGAAAATGATTCTTGTCCACAAAAATGTAAATGTGTCAGACAGAGTGCAACTGATTATTGCCTTGAGGAGGGGTCTGTTTTACATTATTTATACATTTATGTGAGAATTCCTATTGTCTCTCTCTTTGTCTAGACTCTTGGCGTTCTCCTTTGAACCACTTATAACATTGTAGTGGTTCCCTCATTAGTTAATGAGTTTAATAAAATCTTTGACACGTTCATTTACATATCAAAAGTCATGGTTATACCCTCTTCTAAAAATTCTTTTAACACTACGGGGTAATGTGAGGATGACATGGGGTAACACCTATGCAATCCTGGGAGAGTGTTCGGCGTGCAGAAAGCACTAAGTCTTACTAAGTCTCTTGTTTTTATCTCTATCGCAGCCCTCAGCACACCCTGACGTAACTGTCAAGGTCCCTCTCCTTCAGCAGACCCCTCTGCTTCTCTAGGGGAAGGTCCATTAGGACAGGGACTTTGTGACTCCATCATGGAAAACAGTAGAACCAAGCACCAAGAGGGGACATAGTAGATAGTCAATAAATTACCCAAATAATAATAGACAGAGATTGGCAAGTTTTTCTTTGTAAAGGACCACAGAGTTAATACTGTAGCTTTGCAGGCCAAAAGGTGTCTGTGCAACTACTCAACTCTGCTGCTCTCATGGGGAAGTGCCGTCACCATCACCACGGCAACAGTATGTAAACGAACGGAGCATATGGCCGTATGACAATGAAACTTTATCTGTGGACTCGGAAGCATGAATCTTACAGAATTTTCACATGACACGAAATATTATTCTTCCTTAGATTTTCTTCAACCTTTTAAAAGTGTAAAAACCATTCTCAGCTTGAAGGCCATATAAAAACAGGCAGTAGGCCAGGTTTGGCCCCAGGCCATTGTTTGCTGACCCCAATCAGTTAATGGTAACACCTAGGGCAAGAACTATGTCTTATTCATATGAAGTTTTTTCTAGTCCTTCTCATGTAACAGATGTTTAAGTGATGTTTGTTAAATTAAGTAACTAATGGATAAAGGCAAAAGGGGATATTTTAGGAGGGTAACTTGCTAAATCATTTTAGAGAGATTCACTTTGCAGGGATGAGGGGGTGAGGGCTGGCTTGGCAGAGCCTGTCATGACAGCAGGGTGGCAGGGACTGGTCCCAACAGCATGAACCGTGTCCTTTGTCATAGTCAACCTTCACTGAAATCCTCAGTGACACCAACGGTTTTATACCCCGACTGTAAACTACCTTACATCCTTTTTAGAACAAAATGGAATTATACATGATTTTAAATAGCATCTGTTGATCAAATACTGTGACCAGAATCACATTACAAGATACCTTCCCCAAACAAGCTAGAAAAACAGACTATATTATATTGGCACCAGTCAATTTCATAGACCAGAATTAGGAATTTTCCAGAATTAGGAAAGTGGCCATTCAGCGTCCAAAAGCACAGATAGGCCCAGAAATTGATCCACCTACAGAGTTGGAATGGACCCAGTGGGAATCTACAGATGCCACCTGCTTTGCCTCCTGCTGCACATGCCTCCCACCCCGTCATGCATACTGTCACATACTGTCACTCGCCTCCAGCCAAGCAACTCCCTCCTGCCCGAAGACCATGGGCCCGCGAACACTGAGTCACCAAAGCTACACACACAATGGCACAGCTGTATTTTTGCTTAGGAGCTCAAAATTCCTTTTCTTTTTTGTGTGCCTATCATTTGACTTCATTTAGGGCTCAGGCAAATGTCCAGTTGGATGGTGGACGTTCAAACCGGAATTTCACAGCAGTGCCATTTCTCAGTGTGGGACTGTGACCGCACGAGTCAGGAGAAGGGCTTTGTAGGAACATATTTGGAATATGAAGGAAACCTAACAGAAAGTGGAAAAGAGCTCAAGTTTCAAGGACACATTTAAAACGTTAACACAATGTGGTTTTACAAAGAACATAAAGTCATCAAGTGAGTCCCAACTCCTGGTATTTCACAGGTGAGGAAAGAGGTCCAAGGCTTGCAGTGACTGTACGAGCCCCCAGGCCTGGGACTTGGTCTTGAACCCAGACCTCCTTCAACTTGACTCAGGCTCTTTGCATAGAAGATGCAGGGAGGAAAAGGAGAGGGGCTTTTCTTTCTATTTAAACGAATTACCACGTATCAGTCTGCAGTTTTAAAAAAACATTATTTAGGTAATACATCTTATTGGGAAAGAGAATGCCTGGGATCTTATGGCTCTGCTCTAAGAACAGTAATGCTTGTTCCTAGGATGGGGTGAAAAGCTCAGTACTCCTGCGTTCTTTCGCACAACACAGCACAGAAATACAGTCGTGCTTGAGAACAGACAGGGAGCACCAGGGCAAAGAGAAGGGAGAAAGAAATGGATGCCGCTTACCCCATCAGCACCTGCCCAGGGCTCAGCACACGGTAAACAGTCAGTAAATCCTCAACCCACACCATAGCAGTGGGGTCAGAAACAGGGAAGGGTTGGAGCAGAGCACTAACCACAAAAGAAGAAAGAGAAGTTTAGGGGATCCTTGCAACTTTTCTGTAAGTCTAAAATTTTCCCCAAATAAGTTAAAAATGTTTAGAGAAGCTGGTGGGTTTTTTCAACAAATACTCCAGTTGGCAAATTATTTGACCAGACCTCTGGGATTCTCTGATTTAGGGAACCTGCTTGTTTTATCACACTTCTGAAAACACGGGGTAACCCCGTGACTTAGCCACTTATTCATTTAACATGTGTTTACTAACTGCTCATGGTAACTCAGCTGAAGAATGGCATTGATGGTAACAGAAATTCACCCAAATCGAGTTCAGATTTTAACAAGAGATCTCGTTTGCTGCATATACGAACTTTCATATTTGGAATTGAACTGTGCCAAGACAGTTTGGAAAAACCTGTCACCAAGGAGAAGTCTTGCTTCTCACAGCAGAGGTTTCATTCTTTCAGACGTGACTCGGGTTCGACTGTAGCGTGGCAGCCAGACAGAAATGGGGCTCTAACCTGAGCAGCCCGCCCTCTGCTGCTCAGGCGGAGGAATAGTTTGGTACGATGGGCACTGGGGAAAGGAAATCACTTTCTTTTTTTTTACGATAGACTTTCCTTTTTAAAGAAGTTTTAGGTTCATGGGCTTTATTCTTTATAAGCTCTCCTAACTTCCTCCTTTCTTCTCTCCCTCTCAAATAAGCATTAGAAAGGTATTTTTATTACGTCCTGTTTTTCTTGAACGCAGCTACATGTTTAGGCTCTGAAGTTTGTTTCAAGTTACTATAAACTGTGGTTTTTGGTTACAAAGTGTCCTAACTCTGTAGCTTACTTTTAACAGATGGATATTCAGTCATCAATTATTTTACACTCCCATAAAACCCTTGACTGATTCAACAACCTCCCTCCCCTATAACCTAAGTTAGTGGCTTTCAAACTTCCAAAACTTAAAAATACACTTTTCAGGCCCCACCCTAAGACATTTAAAATTGGAACCCAGCACACATATAACATGTAAGTGGAATTAAAAGCTCCATCAGTGGTACTGACCTTCGCTGTTCACTCTTACCATAAACTCCTTTTTCTGTTCTCTTCTAATTCACATCCTTGAAAATGGGTTTTGACCTGCAGTTTGAAAAACACGACCCTGCAGACCTTAAATCTTTGCGAGTGGAGCCCCCTAGTGGCCACTCACACATTTGCACTGGAAGCGGATGCAGGAAATAGAATCATATTTTAGACATATTTTGCCGTAAATTGGTGACGTCACAAAGATCAGCTTAAAGGGAGAAAGAAAAAGTGTGTCTGGAAAAATTGTCTGAAGTCAGGACTTCATATAAAACATTATAGTAAGGGTTCATTTATTATTGCACATTAAGACCTGGGGGGCTGGCTGTCTGGGCTTAACAGATTTTAGCAAAATACTGTGATTATGCCTGAATGCACCAAATTAGTTGATTGATGTCTAGAACAAAAAATGCCTTCCTAAGTCTACACAGTGTCTTACAGTTGAAGATTCATGATTGAGTTTGCCCACCTTAGGATCTCAACGCATTTTTGTCAATTTATTCTCAGACATGCTGACAACACGCCATTGTCACCAGGCATGCTGCTGAGCTACGGAGGGTGCGGGCACGTTCCCGGGGACTGTTCCCAGGTGTCGGCCTGTCACAGGCTTGCTGGGTACCGAGGTTGTAATGACACTCACTCTTGGGAGATGCTGCAGAGGTTAAAACCTCTTCTTCATCCTGCAGACGAAACGGAGGCCCAGAGAGCTGCAGTCGGCTGGAGGAGATGAGTGTGGACCTGGGGGTCGGCTCGCAGCCTGGGCCCAGCTATGCCCAGGACCCTTGCTGTGCGAGGTGGGCTGGGATTCATCTCTCGGAACGCTTCAACCACAGAGGATGTGGCACAAAATCGCATGGACCCACTGCCCTGTGGTAAATCCACGATCAATACATCTCAAGACAGGTGCCATCAGAATGCCTCCGAAAGGGAAACCGGGGGACCTTTTGCCCTACAGTGAGCACTTTGGGGAGACTGGTGAATCACGGTCCCAGGAAGGGGCCTTCTGGCATTCTCAGTGCCGAGGGGTGGTTGGGGGAAGGGTATGGCCATGGCTCGGCCTTCCATGCCAACGTTCTTTCTGCAAAACAAGGAGACCGGAGAGGAGGACCGGACTTCTACTTTCCCTTTACGGTGCCTTCCCAACACAGTGATGAGCGACACACTGTGGACAAGGGTTCATGTTCTCTGCTGCTGAACTTTGGCGACACGAATGACTCTACAACGGCTTCTGTTATTTGCTGAAATATTCCTACTTGAGAAAAGAGCAAGAAAATTCATTTAGTGAATCTAAAACCCCTCTTCAGAAGGGCATATTCCAAAGGGTGCCCCAGTGTGGAGAGGCCTTAAGGAGAAAGGGATTTGAGAGCAAAGGCCTGGGGTTCACATGCCAGTTCCCCATTTCTGGCTGATTGATGTTAACTGTTTTTTAGCCTCATTTCCACCCCTGCTCTCCCAACCCCCAAAAAAGCAAACCAATTCCATGTACATGAGATTGTTCATGTGACATATTTGTGAAGACACTTGGCATCACGGAACCCAAATGCCAATAGCAGTTTCCTTAGATTGGTTAAAAAGATGAATTTGTTAATGGAGTTACATCTTCAGTCTGTTCTTGCATACATATTCCCTTGGGAACCAGTTTCAAAGGACATCCACCTTTTGGCAAGGGAAAAAGAGGTGACAGAAACCTATTCCTCAGGCTGGCACAGGTCCGGGAGCCGTGGGGTGGCCCGCACCCCACGAAAACCTCCGTCCCCCATTTACGGTGCAGCCGCCCCACCTCCGGGTCTGCCTCCAGCTGTCTATTTCTCCACTTCCTGCCAACCAACCGCAAATAAAGGAACAAAGTCAGATAACTTCCATTTCCGAAGCGCTGTTCTTTGGAGATATCTAATAGAAGTAATACAATAGTCTGGCTCTAAGGGGAGTCACAGACTCGAGGCTGAAGGTGGTGATGATCGGTTACCAAGGACCCAAGGGCCGGGCTCTGTGCAGGAATTATCGCGGAGACGCAGAAACCAGCTCGTGAGGTGGGAGCCACCCTCCCGTTAGGACACCTGAGGGCCCTGAGGCAGGTGGCGTGAGTGGCTGGGATCTGAAGCCGGGATGGCCGCAGCCTGTCATTCCCGTCGGCCTCTCCTGGGTCTGCAAGCGCTTCCCTCTTACACCGTCCCTCTCCCGAACTTCTGAGGCACCCACTCTGTGCCACACTACTTAGCAATGGCGTGCCGTCTTGTCCTATTTGGGTTAGACTTAGCATGCACTCAGATCCTAAGCCGTGCTCCCGGCCCAAAGCACGTCACTGGCGTAACCTTCCAGTCACAACCGGGCTTAGAGATGTGGACGAGCAATGGCTTTCTTCTGCGCAAGAAGTTTTAATGAGCATCTTGTTTATATTTCAGGGAAGTTTCAGTCAAACTTGAAAATGACTTCTCTGTAGCTAACTAGTCTCAAATACCTTGCCGGTTCCACTTCAAACTCTGCACATGCAGCAAAACAGTATTCGGGAAATGAATGAATGGGTGCAGAGAAAAGATACTTAGTTTTGGTTGGTCCTTACAAGCCTACAAATTTAGAAAATGATTTAATTCTATCCAAACCTGGAAGAACTTGGATTTAAAGTTGGTCATTTAAAGCGGCAATTTATTATGTTGCCCATTCTAAGTGGGGGCAACAACCTCCGCTCATACACAAGCTACTTGACCTGGGCCACACTTGCAATTGCAGAATGGCATTAAATTGCCTGGATCAAGTTTTTTTCATACTTTGACTACCAGCCATAACAACAAATTCATTTTTTGTCATGACCTAATACATACATATTTATATCTGAAACAAGTTTCATGAAGAATAATGATCTTTAACTTGTGCAATGCACTTTGATATTTCCTGTTGCATTTTCTTGTTAAAATGCTGATTGCCACTCACCAAAATGATCCCATGATCCCCTATTTATGGAATTGTGAAAAAAACTTGGTTGTTTCATATTATCTAAGAATAAAAATCCTCTAAGTGTAGAAAGATACTTTAATTTTACTTGTCCTAGTAATCCTTAGAAAATGAGATTTCTGTTCATCATGTCTTTAGTAATTTGCAAACTGTGGTGCCACCTTCTTCAATAATTTTACAGGATTCCCTCTGCAGTTCAGGAGCACATGGGTGAGAAGCATTCTTTTTAGGAACTTTAAAGGCTACAATGTCTTATGATATGGCAACTAGTAAGAAAGTGACAGTGCTTGGATTTTCCTTAATGGATCCCCACCTAAATTGTAAAATGGAGCTTAGCCTCTTAATTTCTTTTCCTGTAATAAAACTCTCAAAATTTCCTGCCCCAATGGAGAGAGTTGGCCTGGCCAGAACTGAGAAAGGTTTTTCTGATGCTAACCTTGAGGAAACATAAAACATTCTGCAGTGTTTACACAGTTGCAGCCTATCCTGTATCCTTCAGTGAGTCAGAAAGCTTGTGGTGACCTAGGTTCTTAGGACTTGAAAAAATGCCAGGCCAGACAAGCAGTCTCTCAGCAAAACCAAGAGGCACTCAATTAAAAACTCTGTTTGCACAGATGCAAAGGCATGGAAGTTTATATGGTGAGGTCTGAGTTTGTTTGTTTTGTTTTTAATTACACACCCAACCAAATGCATAAATCTCACAAAATGAGTATAGTGAAAATGTCAACTCTACTTTTAGACTGAAATACAGAGCTCCTAAAAGCAAAGCTGTTATAACTGTCCACACTTGGGGCTGAAACAACATATAACCAGGGGAAGAAGAAAACATACATACACCCAGATCTAAGAGCAGTAAACAGTTTTTTATTCAGGCAATGAAACATGGAAAAAATATATTAGTAATCATTATAATAATTTCATTTGTGTGAGTATAACTCTTACAAATATTTACTTGACATATAAAAGGGCAATTACACCTCAGGCTGGCACAGGTCCGGGAGCCGTGGGGTGGCCCGCACCCCACGAAAACCTCCGTCCCCCATTTACGGTGCAGCCGCCCCACCTCCGGGTCTGCCTCCAGCTGTCTATTTCTCCACTTCCTGCCAACCAACCGCAAATAAAGGAACAAAGTCAGATAACTTCCATTTCCGAAGCGCTGTTCTTTGGAGATATCTAATAGAAGTAATACAATCGTCTGGCTCTAAGGGGAGTCACAGACTCGAGGCTGAAGGTGGTGATGATCGGTTACCAAGGACCCAAGGGCCGGGCTCTGTGCAGGAATTATCGCGGAGACGCAGAAACCAGCTCGTGAGGTGGGAGCCACCCTCCCGTTAGGACACCTGAGGGCCCTGAGGCAGGTGGCGTGAGTGGCTGGGATCTGAAGCCGGGATGGCCGCAGCCTGTCATTCCCGTCGGCCTCTCCTGGGTCTGCAAGCGCTTCCCTCTTACACCGTCCCTCTCCCGAACTTCTGAGGCACCCACTCTGTGCCACACTACTTAGCAATGGCGTGCCGTCTTGTCCTATTTGGGTTAGACTTAGCATGCACTCAGATCCTAAGCCGTGCTCCCGGCCCAAAGCACGTCACTGGCGTAACCTTCCAGTCACAACCGGGCTTAGAGATGTGGACGAGCAATGGCTTTCTTCTGCGCAAGAAGTTTTAATGAGCATCTTGTTTATATTTCAGGGAAGTTTCAGTCAAACTTGAAAATGACTTCTCTGTAGCTAACTAGTCTCAAATACCTTGCCGGTTCCACTTCAAACTCTGCACATGCAGCAAAACAGTATTCGGGAAATGAATGAATGGGTGCAGAGAAAAGATACTTAGTTTTGGTTGGTCCTTACAAGCCTACAAATTTAGAAAATGATTTAATTCTATCCAAACCTGGAAGAACTTGGATTTAAAGTTGGTCATTTAAAGCGGCAATTTATTATGTTGCCCATTCTAAGTGGGGGCAACAACCTCCGCTCATACACAAGCTACTTGACCTGGGCCACACTTGCAATTGCAGAATGGCATTAAATTGCCTGGATCAAGTTTTTTTCATACTTTGACTACCAGCCATAACAACAAATTCATTTTTTGTCATGACCTAATACATACATATTTATATCTGAAACAAGTTTCATGAAGAATAATGATCTTTAACTTGTGCAATGCACTTTGATATTTCCTGTTGCATTTTCTTGTTAAAATGCTGATTGCCACTCACCAAAATGATCCCATGATCCCCTATTTATGGAATTGTGAAAAAAACTTGGTTGTTTCATATTATCTAAGAATAAAAATCCTCTAAGTGTAGAAAGATACTTTAATTTTACTTGTCCTAGTAATCCTTAGAAAATGAGATTTCTGTTCATCATGTCTTTAGTAATTTGCAAACTGTGGTGCCACCTTCTTCAATAATTTTACAGGATTCCCTCTGCAGTTCAGGAGCACATGGGTGAGAAGCATTCTTTTTAGGAACTTTAAAGGCTACAATGTCTTATGATATGGCAACTAGTAAGAAAGTGACAGTGCTTGGATTTTCCTTAATGGATCCCCACCTAAATTGTAAAATGGAGCTTAGCCTCTTAATTTCTTTTCCTGTAATAAAACTCTCAAAATTTCCTGCCCCAATGGAGAGAGTTGGCCTGGCCAGAACTGAGAAAGGTTTTTCTGATGCTAACCTTGAGGAAACATAAAACATTCTGCAGTGTTTACACAGTTGCAGCCTATCCTGTATCCTTCAGTGAGTCAGAAAGCTTGTGGTGACCTAGGTTCTTAGGACTTGAAAAAATGCCAGGCCAGACAAGCAGTCTCTCAGCAAAACCAAGAGGCACTCAATTAAAAACTCTGTTTGCACAGATGCAAAGGCATGGAAGTTTATATGGTGAGGTCTGAGTTTGTTTGTTTTGTTTTTAATTACACACCCAACCAAATGCATAAATCTCACAAAATGAGTATAGTGAAAATGTCAACTCTACTTTTAGACTGAAATACAGAGCTCCTAAAAGCAAAGCTGTTATAACTGTCCACACTTGGGGCTGAAACAACATATAACCAGGGGAAGAAGAAAACATACATACACCCAGATCTAAGAGCAGTAAACAGTTTTTTATTCAGGCAATGAAACATGGAAAAAATATATTAGTAATCATTATAATAATTTCATTTGTGTGAGTATAACTCTTACAAATATTTACTTGACATATAAAAGGGCAATTACTATGCATATAAAATTTATGTAGATGATTTTCCACACAACACAATCCTGACAGTAGTCAATGCAGCCTTCAGTCCTCCTGATGGGAGGCTCCTCACACACTTCATGGCGCCTGTGGGGACAGTGGAGGCAGATGTGCAAGGAACATTTAACTTATTGGCACGTCAGTACAAATGGTATCTATTGGCAAACATACACTTGCTAACAGCAACACTGAGAAGTTTACTGCTACCTCTGAGATTTAAAAGGAATGCCTGGATCCTGTCCCACCGGGTGAGGACGAGGCTGGGGCTGTGGGTGTGGTGACTGAAGGACCGCCCTGTCTGCACTGCCGGGAGAGGGGGTCAGAGTTCAGGTTTTCATATGTCCACATGAAAATGGCACCTAAATACAGGCTGTCAGTGACCAGCGTGACCAGGAAGTACTTTGGAGTATATGTGAGACGCCACTAAAAGGCAGAGGGGAGGCACGTGGCATCCTCACAGTTCTAAAATGAGGGATCAATACAGGGAAGGTCCAGGCCACACCTCAGCTCCATGCCAGTCCCCCTCCAAATGAGTTAAAGTGTTTAACGGACTGCCACGGGCCAGCATCACACGCCGACATCTCTGTATTAGAACTATAACCAGAATATGTATATATATGGAACAGCGGTAACCATACTGCAGTTAAGAAAGTCATTCCTTAGGAATCGTGTTTGTCCAAATCTAACTGCATGCTGACAGTGAGAGGCACAGAAATGGGGTTGCCTTTGGACAAAGAACTATGAAAAGTGCAATCTTTAGTCTCCAGAATGCCAGCTCTGGCACTGGCGGGGGCAGGTCTTCACTGGAAATGCTGCCGTTTACATCACCTTCCAGAGGAGAGCCTTAGAGAGGAGGGTCTCATCTGTCACTCCCATCACCTTTACTCTATGGGAGATTCACGGTTTGAGAGAGAAACTGCTTTTTTAAAATAACCAGGATTCAGAGGCCAGTTAAACCCTTTTGGACAGAAGTCTCCACACAATACCTCTTTCTTAAAATCTTTGAAAAAGGTGACTTCTTAGACCTTTGGCTTGATATTCTGGGATTCCCAGACTGTATTTGTTCTTTAATAAGTACATAATAATCTGCCATCTTTTAAATTCTTCAGAATATATACATCTTTACTTTAAATTCCTCTGCCTAAATCATTTCATCTTTCAACACCTAGTTTCTCTCTTCCCAACAAGTAGCAGGAAACCCGAGTGCAAGAGTGAGCTCATGAGGTCACAAAACTACAGAGAAGAGACAGCGGTGGTGTGCAATTCACGAGATGCCTACCAACTATAGGGAAAAACCAAAAGGAAATAAAAAGGGAGCTTTCCAGCTTCTACGCTACTAAAAAAAGGACGTGCTGAATCATTCTAACTAGTGTACATAAGACTTTACAGTGCCTGCTCTTTACAAACTCCACTTTGAGCTTTAGAGCCACCACTAGGCCCTCTGTTGCCTTTATTTAAAATGAGTGCTCCATTCTGGCTGCTGCTAGTCAGCCCAGGAACACCTGGGGCAGCGTGTGCTCCCCATTTATGAACAGTGCCCCTTCATGAAGGGCTGTCCAATAAACACCGGAGCACTGGCGTGGGCACTGCACAAGGTGTGGGGCAGGTAGAAAGGGGAACTGGCTGGAAAGAAAATCCAATGTGGGCTGTCTTCCGACACGAAGCGCAAACTTCCCCTTAGATTCCCTATCGTTCTGGAAGGTGGCCAGGTCCTCAGAGCTTCTCAGCATCATGTGCTTCTGCACTTCCTAATTTGGGCTGGTCTGAAGAAGCTAAGACCATGTGAGAAAATGAGGCTTCTCAGGATTTCCAGAACAGTTTTACAGAACAAAAGGTTTGGGCGGGTCACTGGCTTCCAGGAGCTTCTCCAAATATAGTAAGTCTTGGGAGGTCTGACTGTAACTGACCAGCCAACCGAGTGACAAAATGTTCAGCCTGTCCTACGTTAAATTCTCCAATTAAAATGCTTTTAGGTAGACCATCTATCTACAGCTTGGTGAAGTGAAAACCTGAAGCCATGGCCCTGGACCCAGACAGAGTCTCTACACGATCACCCCAGGTTCCCAAACCACCACCCGGGCTGCAGCCTCACTTCATCCCCCTCTTCACTTCTCTGACAGGGTTTATTATTGCCTAACGAACAAGCAACCCGGCCTTCGTGCACTGTGAAGCAAAGCTATATTCTTACTCTCTAGATCTTTAAAAGATTTTGGGGGACTTATTTTTAAAGAAAAATAAACATTCTTCATTTCACCCAGCATATTCTCTTGATTGGCCAGTTTGTAAAAGCTGTATTTTTATTTTTGTTGAGAGTATCCATCATTAAATTAGAAGAAAGCACGTTTCCCTGTGACAGTTAAGGCTGGGAGGCCCGGGGCAAACGGACGTTCCTTCACACAGGCCAGTCTGCATTCCTCATTAGAAACTGCATTCAGCAGGGTCCGGTTTTTCAGGGGTCTCTTCTACCAGTGCGCTAGGGAAGGATTGTCGTCACCTCAGTTTTAACACAGAGCTGCTTTTAATACATGAGGAGCCTCAAGAGAGGGCTATGGATTTATAATGGAGACCACTATAAGCTTTCATGCATCAAACAGATCAATATAAAACAAGTAAACATGGATGTCACCACAGCCCAGCAGCAAAAAGGTTTAGCAATATTTTTCTGTAAATGCAAAGTTAACATCCCCAGTAGCAGAATGGATCTGGAAGGGACCCAGGTACCACCCGGAGACACCAGTACTCCACGGACACAGCGCAACCAGGGCACAGCCCTCACAATGAGCAGGCCTCAGTGACCACTTCCAAAGCCCAAATGATTGTCAAGTCACTTCTCCAACCACAGAGCATTCCTGTTGTTCTTTTTTTACAAAATGTTAAGACAATAGGCCTTAAAATACAGCCTAAGCACCAATTATGATAAATGCATATTGGTAAAACGTGACTTCTGGCTTTAAAAGACATCATTGACCACCCTGGGGCTAAAGATTGCACCCCTGTGAATAGTATATTGATAAAGAAAAATTCATTTTTAAAGATCTATAGAAGTTCTCCACTAGGCACAATTCATTGCTGAAGTTGGATCATGCAAGAGTTTTACAAGGAAAGTACGAAAACTAAACATGCACTGAATATAGTGCAAACCACTGTGAAGACTTTCAGGGTGAACGATTAAGACAGAAGGGTGCTTAAAACCCTTACGTGGATTTGGTTTGGCCTATAGAATGGGAAGGAACTCACTAGCATTTCAAGGAAAACTTCCCCTGTGGGGCTAGTGGCCCCACCATGCTGAACTGAGTCCAGGAAGAGCTGAGGGATTTAGTTCTGTGCGCATGAATTGCCCCCTGCGCACCCCTCCTCCAGGACTCAAATGGTCTCTGTTTAAAAATATTCAAAATGTGCTGACTTTTGGAGTGGCTCACATGATCTTTTACTGCCCATTTTGTTAAAAATTCTACTATCTTAACTTTAAAAGGATTTTTTGCCTTTAAAAAAAATCTGCAGAACAATGCATCACATTTGTAAACAAAACCTGTTTCTTCACTTTATAATTGCTACTGGGGTTACGGTTACCTTTTGATTAAGACGATCTAAACCTTTTACAAGCAGACTTTCTTTGTGTATTTCAAATAAAAACAAAAGATAATAAAAAGTAAACATTGATTTTGTAGCAACAAATGGAAGCAGAGGAGACCAAATGGCTCCAGAGCAGACTCACCAGAACCCAGATCTGAGGGAGGAGGAGGCCCAGGAGGGTGCAAACAGCAGGCCGACAGGACGCGAGGTGAGACCTGGCATCATTGCATCTTCCGTCCCCTGAATTCTGAAGCTGGCACAAAGAGCCAGGCCTCTATTTCAAAATCAGGTCTTACATTTACAGAAATATGCTCATCTGTAGAGTTCTTATTCCACTATGCTTCAGGGGAAAACCAGCAGCATATGTAAATGTGTGTGTGTATGTGTGTGTGTGTGTGTGTGTGTGTGTGTGTGTGTGTAAATGGTTACTCAGAATCCCTTCTTGTTCATAAACTGCAAATAACAGTAAGTCAAATTATCTCCTCAAATAAAACCTCTAATCCTGAAAATTAAGGTGAAATAAATAGGTCACCAAAAAAAAAAAAAATTAAGACTGGTGGTAGGCAAATGATTCCAAATAGGAGCCACAAAATCACGAATTTCACACATTTAGAAAAGTAAAGATAACATTAGAACAAACTATAGATGGAGGGATCACAAACCCAGCTTGCAGGGGGCTGGGCAAAGACCGGGCCTCTCGGAAGCCACTTCCCCCACCGTGCTGCACTCCAGGGCTCCTCCTGACCGTCCACGGCAGCAAAGCGGACAGGCAGCAGTAGGCATGTGCTTTTTTAAGTTTTTCTTTTTTTCTCTGCAAAGGGGCAATTACTCCTGGATAAGGCAAGATAACTATGGTCACAAGAGAAGCAGCCAAACGCAGATCTGCTGAGCGCATGTGGAGAACTCAGTCGGTCTTTCCCAGCTTGGCAATCAGCTCATCACAGATTTTTGTCAGTTCTTCAATTTCTTGGTTCTGAAAGACAAACGGTATGATTAGGCAGCCACTCTGTGCCCTGGATACAGGCACTTACAGCGCAGTAGTCCCAGACTGGCTACATCCCACCTGAACATCCTCATTCAGTGGCTCCTAACTTTTCTACATCAGAGACCCTTTAAACTGAGTAGGGGGTGAGGGTGGTCAGCGGCCCTCTGCGGCCTGTCCACGAACCTCTTAGCTCTCAAATTTCCTTGATAGGAATCATTGGGGCTTGTTAAAAACACAAATGTCTGGGCCTCATTCAGTCCATCAGCATCTCCAGAGACCTGGGATTCTGGAGGCTGAGGATCCCAGCAAATGCTGTCTTAGGGGTTATCAGAGCCTCAGAGTTAAGGCCCTGCCCCAGCCGAGTGGATGCCACAGCACGAGTACAGAATGGGAGACATGCTAAGAGACACACAGAGGCATAGAGAAATGACGCCTACGGATCGGTGACTAGCAAGAAACGGGGAGTGTTGTTATCACTGATTTTTATTTATCTACAGCAGAGTTTCTCAACCACGGCACCATCTGGGCCAGGCCAGGCTTTACTGGGGCTGTCCTGTCTGCTGGAGGAAGTTTGCAGCACTTCTGGCCTCTGCCCACTGGATGCCAGGAGCCCCTCCCAGGCGCGACGACCAAATACGCTGCCAGACTTTGCAAACATAAAACTGCCATGAAGGGGGAGGATGGCTTCCTATAGCACTGAACACGCACAGAGAAAGCAAGCCGGGCGGCCCGAGAGCATAAGGAGCGGTGGGCCCCGGCCCCGGTTACTGCCCCTTCCCCTCTGCAGCCTGCCTGGGGTCGGCTCCCGGATGTGCCCGGAGTCCATGGTTTGCCTTGCTCGTCTCCACCTGAACCAGTTCCCGAGGAGCTGCCCTGAAGTGCCTGGGCAAGAGGGCAAGGCCTGCTGTGGTCTGGACCTGGTAAGTAAGCCGCCGCCGGGGCTGCCCCCGTACCTTCTGCTGCAGGGCCCGTTCCAGGGACTCCACCCTCATCTGCTCTTTCCGGAGTCCAGCGTGGAGGGCTGCACTCTCGGCCTTTGCTTTTGTTCGAACCTGAGCAATCTCCTCATTGGCTCTGTTTTTTGTGTTTTGTTTGTACAGGGGCAAAAAACACAAAGTCAGTCATTAGACAAGGGTAGAGGGTCAGGACCGTAACCACTGACATTTGTGAACAGACCTAGCAGGACTGACTTCATGGTAAGGCAAAAAACAGCAACCAGCGACCTAAATAATTTAATTTTAATTTATACAAGTTCAGTTTACACACAACTGCTGAGCAAATTTCCACGGTGCAGACCCACTGTGGAATTAATCTCAAAGGCCACAGTGTCCTTCAAAATTCCTATGTCTCCAGAAAATGTAATCATGTGACAGCTCCTGAAACAATCAGTTTGTCTAATCCACTACAACAGCAGTGGCATCATTTCTGGGATTTTCACAGCTAAAGAGTCAGGACACGAACCACTCATGTCTGTGAACAGACCTAAAAGTGGCCTTTTAATGAGATGCAAAAGGAAATTTTTTAAAACCATGGATATCAGTTGATAACGAGACAGTTAACTGATGAAAGGATGCTGAAAACTCACTAGCCATCAGGTGTGCTAATATGATAAGCTTTAAAATTTTATCAGATTGGCCAAAATAAACAAGGATGACCTTGGCCCATGTTGGCCAAGATGCAAGGAAGCAGAGAGGCTCACAAGCGACGGCAGAATGAGCACCTGCACCATTTTTGCAAAGTGTGATGCGGTCACTAACAATTTAAAATGTCTACCCTCTGACCTAGCAATTAGTGGTCAAGTCACAGAAAGGCTCCTGCTTGGTGTAACGGTGTAACGGTGGGGTCACAGCAGCACTGTCTGCGTGGGAGGAAGCGTGAGCCGAAGCGCCCACCCCCGGAAGATGGGCGGCCCCACCCCCACCCCCAGAGCGGGGCAGTCCGGCCACCTGATAAAATGATTACATTCTGACGTGGAAATGGCCACGATGTACCACTAAGCCTACATAGCATATAAGTGTATCAAGTACATATGTGTGTGTGTGTGTGTGTGTGTGTGTGTACATGTATCAAATAAAAGGAAACTTGCATCATATGACTCCAATACTATTTAAAAAAAAATCCAAAGCCATTTGGGGATAGTATTTATAAAGGCACAAAGAGAAGACTAGAGGATACATAATAGATAATATCAGCACTTCTGGGAGTGGGAATGGGAGGGGGTAACTTAAAAGGCTTTACAAACAGGAAGATAGCAACACGTACAAATATGTATTACTTTTTAGCTAAAAAATAAAAGTTGAATGCATCCTTTATACCACTCCCCAGGGTAAATTCCAAATGTGTGGATTTAACAATTTAAAAAACCAGGCCATGAAAATACTAGAAGGAAAACATGAGAATATTTATATTCAGCATGGGGGAAGACCATTGTTACTATAACTGGAAATACTGAAGCTGTAAAAGAAATGAATGGTAAATTTCACTATATAAAAATAAATTTCTGCATATCAAAAAACACTGGCAGACAAAAGACAAACTGGAAATAGTTACAACTCACATCCAAAGGGCTGGCATCTTTAAATAATACAAAAATAAAAAATAATGTATTTATATATAAAATACATAAACTGACAACAGGAAACCAGCAAAGAACAGGCTTTCAAATTATCTATATAGATGGTTGCTAAAATATGTTCAATTTCACTCATAATACAAACATGAATCAAAACTACACTGAATAAAATACAATGCTGTTGTTTGCTTAAAAAAATACCCAAACAAAAAAACCTTAAACTGAAATACCAGCTTTCCTCTACTGGATTTGTAGAAAACCAAAAATCTGATCTGTTGGCAAAGCTGTAGGAAAAAGAGATGCTGATATGTTGTGAAGGGATGAGAGTTGATAGTCAAGTGAGAGCAATTTATTACCAGAATTATAAATTCACATATTCTTTGGCCCAGCATTTCCCTTTTCTAACACATAGGTAATCCACAAAGTGCCAACTGAATAATCATACAAGGCTACTTATTGCAGCCACTGCGTGCGTCACATAAGATTTTAAATAACCTAATGTCCAACATGAGGGGACTGGTTAAATAAATGCTACATTCCAAGAACAGAACACCAAAGGCTGTTAAAAAAGATAGGGAGGCTGTTCATGGATTGATAGGCAAGACTGCCAAACTATAGTGTCAAATGAAAAAAGCCAGGTATGCCATCACCTGTATAAAAAAGGAGATTCTCTCTACATTAAAAAAATGGTATGTGCTGTGGGTGGAGGGGCTGCTAAAACTGTCCCGGTGAGACATAAATGTACCAAAGTAACACAGCGCTGCCTTTAAATTTACACAATGTTATGTGTCAATTATATCATCACAATAAAGTTTGTAGGGTAGGGGAAAGGAGAAAAGCACAACTCTAAGGATTAAAGAAACTAAACAACCTGGAAAGAGGTGGAACTGAGCTGGGGGTGGGGTGGGAGGGGAGAGACTATGTATCTTTTTATTCTTTATGTTGAACCATGTGAAGCCTCTCCCTATTCAAAAAATTACACAGCACGCGCGCGCGCGCACACACACAGAGAGAGAGAGAGAGAGAGAGAGAGAGAGAGAGAGAGAGAGAGAGAGTGAGAGAGAAATGCAACCTGGAGTTGCAAAACGGATTTCTTACTTGTCTAGTTTTTCCTCCGCGTGGATTTTCAGGGCCTGATATCGCTGTTCCTCTTGTTTAACTCTGGCTAAGTAATCCTGAGCACATTTTTTCAAAGCTTCTTCATTCTGCTCCAAAGTAATAATTAAAAATAAAATAGATGATTTTGGTTTTCTTCCCTGAGTAACATACCATGTATCAGAGTTTTGATTTTTTTCAAAGTGAGAAAACCTAATTAATTCAAATGCCTTTAAATTATATCCCATGGTAATTTGAAATGGGCACAGGATAATTCTCACTGAAGAAATTCTAGATAATTTCCCCATGTATTAATTTTCAGATCATGCAGTGAGGTTCAGTTACACGGATATACCCACTTTAGGAGGCAGTTATTCAAAATGGCAATCTAATTCCCATTTTATATAAAACTGCCCACTCTCGTTCATATTTTAATATGAAAATAAGGGTGTTCACTGCTATAAATGTCTTATTGATGGTGTGCCTACATTTGAAACATTACACTTTTTCTAGGATATACATCCTGAACTGTTCAGTGTTGTAAATAAAGGCCCTTTTCCTTTTCCTAAATATAAAATGATGTATTATCAGAAAGAACATTCTAGAACTCCCTCAGGTCTGAGGGTTCAACTGTTCTTAGTCCACAACACACTCTGGTTGTGTCTGGGATTTGGTGGCCTGACCCAGGAGATGAATGACTGAGACGCACCACCCAGTAGGTGAGATGCCTGGACAACTACAGAAAGAAAGAAAGGGGAAAAAAATTCCAGTTTCACAGGAACAGAGGACACAAAGCCGGCAGGATCCTGTGCACCTATGAAAGGCTATCTCTGGCATCTATGTTTGAAGATCCGTTACCAAGAAAACACACCAAGGAGACAGAAGGAAAAGGACATGCTACCTTCTTGAACCCTTCCAGAACACCTTTCAGGTTCTCGTATCTCCTGAAGAGATCAGAGAGGGACCTTTCCACAGAATTAAGGTCGGCCAGGGCCTGCTCCTTCTCCATGGTCAGCTGCTGGAAGCTTTTCTGAGAGGTCATACTTGTCCTCTGTTCATCTTCTGTGAATCACAATCAAAAGTAATGGCGAACAGCTGCCCTCTGTGAGCTGAGCAGAAAGCTCCCTCTCTCAAGGGCTAACACCCCAGTGGGGGAGACATATGGGGCAAGTGACAGGGGAAAACCAAGCAGGGTAAACGGCTCGGGGCTCCTGCTTCACAGAGTGGCCTCTCCCAGAAGGGACACTTGAGCAGGGGCCCAGGAGGACTGGGTGGGGGCTGCGCAGCCACCCGTTAGGGGACTCCCTGTGGAGGAAGAGCTGGCAGAGCCCCAGGCTGGGGAGGCATCAGGTGATGGGCACAGCAGACGACGTCGTGCCAGAGCTCTGCAGAAGGACCCGACTTGCAGGTCAGCAGCCAGGCGTTACAACACTGGCTTCAAGAGGTTCTAAATTCAATGTGGGGGCATCAACCGCGGCCATTTTCTAAAGGCACCAAAGGGGCTGATACAGGTAAAGTACACGTACACTGGGGCACGTGCAGTGGAACAGAGACCCCACCAGGGAGAGCTGATGCTGGGCCAGGCCGTCCACACACTGGGTCCCAGGTGGAGGGCTCCCCACAGAACTCGTTTGCTCTCCTTTGAAATGAACCCAAGCACAGTCGGTCCTCAGTATCCACTGACTTTGTATTTGTGAATTCACCTACTTGCTAAAACGTAGTTGTAACCCCAAATCCATGTGGATGGTGCATTCCTGTGGCAAAACCTCAGCGCTCAGCTGAGGTTTAACAAGGTGACGCTGTCTCCTTGCTTCATACTTGTTGCAGTCTATTTAGAGCCATTTTCTTCCCAGTTTTTGTGCTTTCTGGTGGTGACTTTGCTGTTTAAAATGGCCCCCAAGTGTGGTGCTAAGGTGCTGTCTGGGCTCCTAAGTGCAAGAAGGACGTGCTGCGTCCCACGGAGAAGACATGTCAGGTGAGCCTCGCTCGGGCCTGAGCCCCAGCACAGTCGACAGAGTTACGGACTGACAAGAGAGATGTGACGTGGGGCCTGCAGGAACCCAATCCTCTATTCTCCCTTGGACCAGGGGCTCAGTGTTCAATAATTCAGTGTTTGTGGCCACTTTATAGAACATCACCACTGCAAGTAATCTAAGTGATAGACAAACTGAAGTTTGTATTCTGACTTGAAAATCACCTTTACCTCCTATGGCTCCGACCCTGGGAAAAAATGTCCTTACCGATCATTTGGGCAATGGTCTTTTCATATTCAGCCACAATTTTCCTAAAAAAAAGAAAAGTCAGAAGAGAATCTTCAGACCACAGAAGTTGGAGAAATGCTGCCCCAATTAATCATCCTTACTTTTACCAACAAATTCACATAACCCATTTATCTGTTATGGGACTTTTTTTTCTACATTAACTTAAGATTTATTAACATTCAAAAGGTTTTTCTTTAGATTTTATGTTTAATCAAGAAGGTTCAAATTTCATAACCACCTATTTATACGAACTGCTTTACTTCTTTTTTGCACCTATGTGAATGACCTCAAGGCAAGAGATGAATTCTGTTTAGACAAATCAATCTTTTACAAAGTAAGTTAATGACCTTCTTGGAGCCCTTCCTCAGAGGTCAGATATGGGTTCAGGCTTTCCTGGCCCGGATCCACCCTTCAAGTGGTCCATCCCTTCTGAGATGGTTACAAGTTTTATTTTACTATCCCAACTCCGAATGTATTTTGGGTTATTCAAAGACTTCAAAGATCACCCTGTTGTCTCAACCGTTCTTTGAGCAAAGTGCAGTATTTTCCTGACCCTGTCCAGTGACTCTTAGTGAGAAATGATGGCTCCCTCACTCCTCCGCGGGGTGCCCATCCCTTTGACACTGCCCCCGGGTTTCTCACGTTGGCCACTGTAAGCTCTGAAGGCTGTCCCTTCCTCCCCACCACACCCAGCCCAGGGTCTTCCACCCAGCAGATGCTCAAACAAATGAAACAAATGACACAGGAGCCATGAGTGAGAGCCGTAACAGACATTTCTTAATCATTCAAGCACTGACTGTACAGTGTGTCAATTATTTATGTGTTTTCTCTCTTTTTTGATGCCATCTTTAGTTTTTTCATAGCTCCTAACTCCTTTCTACAGTGAGCAGAAAAAATAAAAAAATTTCAATTGTAAGTCAATCAATTTTGTTTCCTGTTAATATACTTTTTATAATCTATTTGGTGGTTATGAAATTTGAAGCTACCACAAATAATTAATTTTAGGAAAGTGTTATGAATTAAAGCGTCTTCATAACTGAATAGCAAGAAATCTTACTGCTCTGTATTTCAAATGGATATTTTTGCACAAATTTACAGCACTTCAGAAGATAAGAACGATGTGGGTTCTGCTTATGTTGTAATGTTCTGAACCCAAAATAAGCTACAGTATTGGAATATAATAACTGGTCTCAGCAATATTCATGAAATGACATTAAATATAGATCAAGGTTTTAACTCAGCAGTTCTGTGTTAAGATAATACTTTCATCACTTCATTGGCATTAATTATAGTAATGCATAAAGGTATCCAGACCTCCCCAAACCTCCAGTCTAACCTCATCTCCAAGACTTCCTGTCGGGTTTCTTCATATTTTTTCTTCCATTCATTTGCTTCAATCTCTTTAGTGATTATCTGAGTATAATAGAGATGGGCGGGGGTTATGTCTAAGTAATACACAAGAGGAGAGACTGAAAGCAACACAAAACCAGGTCCTTCCTGAGACACTCAGCCTCCGCCAGGAACACAAGGCCTCCTCATCTATGCAAGAGTGCCCCAGTGTCTGGAAAAATGTGCTCTCCAGCTGCACAGGACACGGACTGCATCACCAGGGTACAGGCGAGCAGGACATCTCCCCAGCTTCTAAGTGAGAATCACCATCTCTGGAAATTCCACCTTGGTCCAGGGTCTGGCTTTTAGCCAGAGGCCCAGAACCCTGACTGGGGCAGGACACCAAAAACAGAGCCATTTGTCTGGCAGAGACTCACTTTAACCACAGGACACACCACAGCACCAACTTTATGTGGGCTGATAAATGAAAACTGCCACAAACTCAGAGCATCACAAGCTGGCAAGACCAGCACATCCTCTGTCTGTGGAGATGTCTGATTGGACGAGGGGCTGAGCAGCTCAATGCCCCCAAGCCAGATGCATCCATCTGGTTGGGGGGATCACAAGCTGGCAAGACCAGCACATCCTCTGTCTGTGGAGATGTCTGATTGGACGAGGGGCTGAGCAGCTCAATGCCCCCAAGCCAGATGCATCCATCTGGTTGGGGGGGCAGGATCTGCTGGCCAGACCATACCTCATATCTCTGTGTTTGGGGTGCCCTTGCGAACTGGGAAGAAATACTCTAAATTTATGGCCTCAAACGCTACTTGCCCTGGACAGAGCTCAGATGGGCATTCATTGTTAGCCTCTCATTATACTTCACTGCTTTCTAATTGGTACGTTCTGTATTGCAGTGCCTTTAATCAGGATTCAAGAACCTGGGAGGCAGCCTGTGGCTTCAGGTGACAAGGCCCATCTCTGCTTTGGTCCACTGTGTGGTCATCCCATAGTTTAACTCTCAGGAGGAAGGCAAAGTCATTTCTCTCATTCCTAAGATCTGACGGACATCCTTCCCTCGGCCTCCAAGGTTTGACATGAGGGCCAGCCAACATCCCTCATTACCAATCTAATGCTGTTTTTTAAAGCTTTAGAAGATCTACATCAGAAGTACCTATCAACTATCATATTATAAAAAGAAAATTGCTATACCAAGGAAATTACCTGCTTAAAAAAAGGTGGAATCATCAAGAAACACATGAAATACAGCACAGAAACCTAACGGGAGAGGGTGCATGCTGATCAATACCACACAAGTGTTGTTCATAGCTTTCAGATCAACTAGGAAGGGCCTAGAAGTGATCTACTTTGAACAGAGGCTGTTCAAGAAACAAAATACAGAATTCGAGAGCTGAACTGTTTAATTAAAGAATGGGTGAAGGTAGGAAACAATTCTATATTACTGCAAGCCTAGAATTTAAAGAAGTTTCAGGCATGAGCACATATCCTCTGTAAGATGAAGGCACTGCCTTAGTTACATATGTGGGCAGAGCTGGCAAAATTCGATATTTAAAACTTCAAGACTAGAAGATAAAGGAGGGTACAAAATTCTTCAGAGTATTTCCAAGTGTCAGCTTTCTTCCCTGGACACCAGAATGTCAGGACTCCAGCACAATGCTGAGTTGTACAGCAAGCCCTTTATGTGAGCCCAAAAGCTGCAAGAAATAAGAACTTGCAGCCAGAGAACTCAAGACAATGAGATGGAATCTACCTGGGGGCACACGGGCGTTACAAAGAAATGGGGCGATAGGGGGACAGAACAAGAAGGCCTTTACCTCTTCTCTTATCAGGGTGAGCACGGCTGTCTTATCTGACTCACTGAGGCAGATGCCATCCAGGGAGCTCTCACCACCACAGGCCACGGACCCTGGGGCCTTCTCCAGAGGAGACTCCATCAGGCCCTGAGAGGGAAGAGGTTACATTTACCACAGGTTGAATCTCTGGCTTAATTCCACATACTCTTCAATAACTTCCTTATTGCTACACTGATCATAATCTTTAAAAGCATGTTGGAAGAGAAAAAAAAACAACAGCAGAGGTTTGCTTAAAAAAAAAAATCTAGTTATGAGGCAGATGCCATCCAGGGAGCTCTCACCACCACAGGCCACGGACCCTGGGGCCTTCTCCAGAGGAGACTCCATCAGGCCCTGAGAGGGAAGAGGTTACATTTACCACAGGTTGAATCTCTGGCTTAATTCCACATACTCTTCAATAACTTCCTTATTGCTACACTGATCATAATCTTTAAAAGCATGTTGGAAGAGAAAAAAAAACAACAGCAGAGGTTTGCTTAAAAAAAAAAATCTAGTTACACTACTATTAAGGGAAAGACTGTTTTAATGCATGGGGGGTGTCTTAGCTTCTGTTTAACAGATAGCTTAGGCAAGTTTTCTTTTAATCCAAAAAGGGAGAAAGTGTAATTATCATAGTGGCCAGTCACCAAAGAATCACATGCGTAAAAGAATGGTTAACACCTCATTTTTCTGGGGGATTCTGGGAATGACATGCTCCATGTAAGTATCTTTTCATAAAAATACCAACTTTTTATATAATGATGTTTGTGTCTCTTTTTTAATCACATGAGGTGGTAATGTTTCTAAAACAGACTACTAACTTTCAGGCCTAGAAAGTAAATAAGCCAAATATATCTGAACTCTGACCCCACCCATGGGTGATTCAGGATCACTGGGAACTTCAGTTGCTCTGCCGCGATGCTGTCAGGGCTGAACCATTATTTGTTCCAGAACAAAGTGGCCGTAAGTCCAGTTCTGTGTCTGCACTTGCATTTTTTGCTATAAGTGTCCAATTCTCTTCTGGCAGCACTTCACCGTCTGATGAGCCAGTTTGCTTTTATCATAAACTAGGCTCCAGAAAGCCACATTTGGTTAGTTAGTATGTTTTCAAGAAAACATGGACTTTGTCCTATTTTCTTTCCTAAAAGGTCTTCTTGGGGCTATTTCCTCCCACCTATGTAAGCAAAATTCTTGCAGAAATGGAAAAAAAGCTGACCTAAAAACATGCAAAGCAACCTGGAAAAATCTCAAATATCGGTGTACTGATCAATTAGTTATTGATTATAACCAATCAGTTCTCTGGTTTAAACCAATACTGAACAGAAAGTCCAAGGTCGGCTTAGACCAGTAGCGTTTAAATTTTTCAGGGTCATTATAGATTTATCTTCTCTAGAAAATGCTCAAAACACACACACATACTTTTCGCATACAGCTTCAGAGACCTCATCCAAGGGCCCAGCACAGCACCCTAGGGAAACAGAGAAGCCGCAGCTGGTGTGCATTTCCAGCAGCGCTAAGGAGGGCAGCCCACCATGTGGACAGAAGCCCAAAGTCCCCCCGGAAACACTCCCTATCTCCAGACAGACCTATCGCTGTAGACAGAGGCCACTCTGTGCTGGGCAGCCTCCAAAACGGCCCCAGTGTCACCTCCTCCCCCCTTGAGTGCAGGCTGGACTGAGCGACTCACCTCTAATTTTATTCTGTTATTTAGAATATGGTAAAAGTCATGGAAGGCCACTGCTGGGATTAGTTTATACACAGACTCCAGCTTTCACGCTGTGAGAAGCTGGGTGGGGGCCCAGGTGGCACAGACCAGATGGATGTCTCTGCCATCAGCCACAGGGGCGAGCCGGGAAGCCGATCTCTGCAAACTGAGCCTGTGAGAGACCCTGGGTCAGGGGCACCCAGCAGGCTGCCCCGGGATTCCTGACCCAGCAGTGACGAGCTGATCAGTGTCAGGAATCACTGACACGCCCCAGGACTTCTGATCAACCCATCCACTCTCTGTGCGTGTTCCTCACAAGGAAACCTTCTCATTCTCTTGCTTCCCATGTAATTTTTACAGGGAGATAATGAATGAACTAGGTCAACAGAACATTTGGTCCACCTTGTTATGTTTCTGATTCTAAATTAATACTTTTTAAAATCAGTCTTTGGTGTTTTTATTACTCTAAGTTAGAATGCTCAAGTCAGGTCAACTCTAGGAAAGTGCCCCTCATTACAGAGAATTTGGGAAATAAGCCACAAGGGTTTTCTTAGTAAGAAAAATACCAGAGTCTATTCTAGAGCTCACTTGCTGAAGGGATAAGGAATTCAGTCAGCCGCTTGCTTAACAAGTTACTGCTGACCAACACGCTGTCTGGAGAGGAGAGGCTGGGCACTCTGAGTTGAGGTGCAAGATCAGATGTAGGCGGTGGCAGATACCCCCAGGTGAGTGGGCTCTGCAGCCTGCCCCCCCTGGCCACGTCCCTTCACCAGGCCACAGGCCACAAGCCTCAAGGCTCAAAGTGCAACAGCTCTTAGGAGGAATTTAAGGCCATTTGAGCCACCTTTTCCAGTCCTCTTAGATTGGGCTTTTTACATTGCTTAGTCCTTTATGTTATTTATCAAACAGCGTAGAAAGCCTACAGAATCCACTGCCACAAGAACTGGTCTGACAATCTCTTCCTGGGTTGGGCAATCTCATCTGTGCTTAATAAAAATGCGAATCAATCAGTCTATCAGATCCTTTTAAAAGGGTCCTGTTTCATATCCCCTAATCCTTCTCCTTCTTCCACAAAGATTCACAATTGAGGCCCAAGACAGACATGTCAGGCCCTAGTGAGGGGACAATGCTTCCGAGTCCCTGTGAGCGTGTCTTCCTTCTGCTCTTCCTCCGCCTGTCTGCCTTCTCGTTTGCTCATTCTATGCCCTTTAGGCAAGTACCATGGGTCACAGCCTAACAGTGAGTCGTGAAAACAATTTACGAGGACAAGTGATCTGAACTACAAAAATTAAATAGAATGGAAAATATCTGAGTGAATCACATGAAGAAAAGTAGTTTTATAAATATACAAATGTTTATGTCATCTTGTGTTATATATACATGTCAAAATGCAAAATAAACTGTTACTGTGGGCCAAGGTAAAGAATGTTTCAATCACAATTTCACCTGCTCACACAGCTTCAACTGTGTGCAGCATCTGAGGGCCCTCAAGGCCACTAAAGCCAAAGCAGAGTTTTGAGTTCACGCTGTGTACTTGTAACTGCCTATTGGAAACATGGACTTAGAAACTGGTCCCACAGACATCTCAAAGCCACACGTCTTACAATGAACTTCTACAATTTGGCTTTGCCTTCTGTATTGTTGGTTCTACTGCATGCAACAGCACCGACTGCGGTAGGCGCTGAGGTGCAGCAGCGGAGAACACACCATGGTCCCCGCCGCCAGCAAGCTTATCACCTTGCCAGGAGGTGACTCGGCCGCAAGCTTATCACCTCGACCGGAGGTGAGTCGGCCAATACACACAGCTGAAAGAAATGCTGTGTGGTCAGGCGCGTGTCAGAGGCACAAGAGAGAGAGGTGACAGCTGGTGCTGGAGTCCCACTGTCGAAAGCCATGTCAGCCACATTAAGAGTCTGAACTTATCCTAAAGACAAAACCAGCGAAGAGGTTTAAGCAAAGGGTAACAAGATCAGTTTTGTGTTTAAAACATTACCCTGCCTATGTAAAAGGATGAGAATAAGCCTGGGGACAGGGAGATTGGTTAAACTGCCACCATGTTTTTAAGACTGGGGGCAGCCTTGGACTCGAGAAGAGTAGATGGATTTATAATACATGGTTTCTGAACATAGAAACCACAGATCTTGATTAAGGACTGGGAGGGAGGAGTCCAAGATGACCCCGGGTTTGTGGCTTAGACAACTAGGCAGGCCATGGTGCCACCTGTTGAAATAAGGCCCCTCTAGGGTTGGTTCTCAGAAACACTGACCACTTGGACATTCCAGGCAGACATTTTGTGGGACCTTCATCAACCTTCTTGCACCACGACCTCCCTCCAGACACCACATACATCCCTGAAGTCACCGAGCAGTGAGGGTGCACTTGCTGGATCTCTCAGCGGCCATCCTGTCCTCTGACCTACTACTGGTCACGATGCTCCCTACTTAAAACCCCACCGAGGTTACCTACTGCTTCTCCAGCAATTCCAAGCCTCCCGGCATGATGCCTGTGGCCCTGACAAGTGCCCCTCATTGACCGAGCGCTCAGTATCCTCTGACCCTGGAGATGAGCACTGCTTACACCTCCTTGGACTCAGGGCTCTTCCCACCCCTGCCTTTACATCGGCGACCCTCCTACCTGGGATGCCCTCTGCCTGGCAAACCCCATTTAAAATGGAGTCCCAACAGAGGGACCCAGAAGATGCACCTTAACCAAGCGGTCGGCGTCAGTGCCACCAATAATGTCACACGCTGACATCCACAATATCACTTTGGATGTAATCGTACCAAAAATGTATAAACTGAACTTAATCATGAGGAAACCTTAGATGAACCTGAACTGAAAGATATTCTGCAAAACAACTGACCAGAACTCTTTACAAGTGTCAAGGTCGGGAAAGACAGGCAAACTGAGCAACTGCTGCAGGTTAAAGGAGGGTAAGAATATTGAACTCAGTGCAACGCAGGATCCTGCACCAGAACGAGGATGTTACCAGGACAACTGATAAAAGCTGAACAAATTTATAGATTAGATAACAAAACTGCATCAGTGGTAATTGATTTTGTAGTGTACTGTCACTATATACATGCTAACACATGATCCCTGCCCTGCAGGCATCAAGCCCTGGTGCCCAGGACCCCCGGAATATATTCTATTACAACATCCGCCAGAGGCTACCACAGTTTCCATTATGTATCCACGAGCAGCACTGTTCAAAGTATAACTTGAGCCAGAAGTAATTTAAAAATTTTCGGTTGTCACATTTAAAATGTAAAACAGATGAAATTAACTTAAATAACATAATGTAGCTAACTGAACATACGTAAACTATCATGTGAATACATAATCAATGTAGAAAGTTAAGAGACAATTATTTTCCTTCTTTTGCATACTAAGTCTTCAAAGACTGGCTGCATTTCACACTTACAGGACACCTCAGTCAGACCTGCTACAGCTCAAGTGCTCAGTAGCCACATGCGGCCAGGGGCTACTGCACAGGACCTCTCCGGACAGACTATGAGCTCCTCAAGGGAAGAAACTGTTTTGCTTATATTTCATCCCCCATCAACAACACTGACTAGAATTTATTTAACAAATTAACATGGGCTTCAAAACAAACACGGAAAAATGACTCCACTTGTCCCACCCCCCAAGCATAGGAACTTACTGGCCTGGTGGATCCATCCGTGTCCATCTTCTGGAACGTCTCCTTCTCTATGCCTAGAACACAGGGTCATTTTTAGAGTTATCCAAGAAGTCAGCTCTTCTCCTTCCTAGTGAAAAACTCCTGAAGCCCCAGTGCAAGCCCAGAACTACATCTACGAACACATGAACGGCATTTCAAGATTTTCAAAGGGGCAGCCGCGTCCTGCTGGCCGCTGTGTGGAAGGGCCAACATAACGCAGAAGGGAGCGGAGGGCAGTTAGTCGGCTGTAAACGGAGCCTTCACCCTCAGGAGGAAAGAACGGCAAGGCTGCCCCCTTGTGGCCATGAAGCGTTTTGTAAATGAGTTTCAGGAGGAGGAAAGAAACGGTAACACTCGCCAAGTGTGAAATGCATTCAAGTTCCAGCCTAAAGGGTACCCTCAATCTAATTAACACAGCAGATAAAACAATACATTCCAAATCCCAATGCCTGAAAAACTAATTTATTATCCTCCCCAAGGCTTCAAACTGGTTTCCTTATCTCCAATCTACCACCAGAGGCAACATTATAAAAACCCAGCACTATGCTTTTTCTAATTAAAGAAATGTATACTCATTGAAGAAAAATTTAAAACATGGAAAAGCACACATTTTTAAAGCTATAATCCACCACACCGAAATAACAAATTACTATTTTAGTGTACAATGTCAGTAATGAATCATTTAAAACACAGCTTGTGACCATACTACTCTGCTTACAAACTTCAGTGGCTCTCCTCTAGCTAGAGAATCAAGCCCAAAAGCCTCAATACAACCTCGTTTTTCCATTTATCCTGTACTCACAGAGAGCTACTGGGCATCTTACCAAGATGGCAGGTTCCCTCCCATCCCTGTGAAAGGAGGCACGTGCCCTGGTGCACATCTCTGAATCAGTAGATACCTAGCTCAAAGGTGACGCTGCCAGGAAACAGACTGACTCACCTGACAGAGGCAGGACAGCTTCCACTCCACACCCTGCAGCCCACACGACCACAGTCTCTGCTTGCTCCTCTGACCCGGCTGATCAGTTACATACCGTGTGTCACTAGCAGTTCACTAACTCTGAGGACCGCCCTATATCTAACAGAACCCCAGCTCTATAAATAACCACTGAAGGCATTTCCTCCGAGTGAGGAACAGTGTCATTCAACAAATATCAGCCATGCACCCACACCAGACGAAATTCAAAGGCAAACCACTCATAGTCCTCAACTGCGAAAAGTTTATCAAAGGCATCTTCTATAATTAACACACAGAACAGGAACTGTTAAGTGGTGAAGTGCAGTGCGGGCCAAGGGGCAGTTCTGAGATAGTCCTGAAAGGGTGAGCAGAATTTTTATAGGAGGTAGTAAAGAAAGGCATTTCAAATATAAATAACTGTAGGTACAAGAATACTCAGGATTATCCCGCATAACTGGGACAAAGGGTTATAAAGGGAAATGGCAAACAAGGTGTTTGGGAAAGATGTCAGAGCAGAAAGAGGCCTGGGCAGAAACCTGGGACAGTGTCTGGCACATTCTATAGAAGGGAAACTTAGACCAGGGGAGCAGGGGGAAGGCCACGGGGAACTCTCACAAAATCTGGATTTCCATCTGCATCCCTGGTTTGATGACAAATACTGTTTTTTTAAAAATTCTGAATATAAAAGCTCCCAAATTAATTGTGTTCCTGAAGATGAGTTTTTAAATAATGTTTAATGTAGTGAGGAACATGGTTCTTAACATTCCATGTACTATGTCAGTAATGAATCATTTAAAACACAGCTTGTGACCATACTACTCTGCTTACAAACCTTCAGTGGCTCTCTAGCTACAGAATCAAGCCCGAAAGCCTCAGTAAGACCTCCTTTTCCCATTTATATAACAAATTAACATGGGCTCAGGTGGAAAGAATGGCAAGGCTGCCCCCTTGTGGCCACAGATGTAACTTGGGACTTGGGAAACCGCTGCGGCTCCAGAATGTTCTGAAAGGTCCAACGGCAGGATGCCTTGGCACAGATTAGTTTAGGTTCTTATCAGGAGATTAAGAAAGATTTTATAGGGTGTTGGTCAATTTCAGTTTGCCACTTCTGTGAGCAAGGAGTTTGTAACAGCCTCATGTGATGAAAACCACCTCTTCCCCCATGCAGTTAAAGGACCACAGGCTAGACTGCTGAGGCTCGAATCCCAGTTTTGCTGGAACCGGCCAAGTTACCTTGGCCAAGTTACTTTACTTCTGTGTCTCACTTGTCTTCTCTGAAAAATGGGAGAAATTACAATACCCAGTGAGGAGTATGTGAGTTAACACGTGCCAAGCACTCAGAACTCAGCTGGCATGCCAGCAAGGCCCTGAGCGTGCTGCCTGTTACTGTTTCTGTGCCTTGAGCAGTGAGCATGCTGGCCCCTCGATGAGTGCAGGCCCCTACACTGTAAGATGTGGCCACATTAAAATAAATCGTAACAAAATTCAAGCAGTCTCACACATCAGGTCTCCCGTACCGCCACTTATCCCAGTATCCCTGGTTCTTTGATGAGACTCCCTTTGGTGCCTCTTTTCTAGGTGAAGAAGCAAAGCATAGAGCAGTGCCTTAAGTCTATCCTTCAAGGGACCCAGTTCACTTAAGGTGTCTTCTGCTTTAGGCTTGCAGGCATTTCTATGCTTATGTACATTAGAAAGATGAAGATAGGCTTCCATACCTGCATCTGAGGATGTAAACGCATGATTTATGGTAGACACAGGAACATTGGAACATTCAAAGTACTCCAGGTCTTCTTCTGGCTCACCTTTCACCTCGGCCCCAGCTGATTTCTGACCAGATGAAGTGGACGCCAGTTTCTCCTCATCAGTAGCATGGCCATCCCTATTAGAAAGATCTGAAATCTGGGAGATCACTGCTCCATCATCCTGGGAAATGCAATAGATAAGATGCTGTTGTTCAGGAGGGAAAACGGTGGGGAAATGACATCTCTGCAATGATGGCAGGAACCTTCCCACGTGGATGTTCAGTAAGAGTTCACTGCAGATGTGTGTACAAAGCAAGAAGGGAGCTGGGGTCTCAATCACAGAATGTTGTGCTTTCTAGAAATTAGCCCCAGTAATTCAACTCTGAGGTTTGAAGAATTAAGCTTTTCTAGCCTAAATTTATAAGCAAGAAATTTAAGTGGTGCAATGCAGTGGTCTTCTAATATTTTGCTCATATACCGCTCAATTTTGGGGATAATCTATGTGCCCCAGTATATTTTCAGATAACATCAAAAACTTTTCAGCATATGTCAAAATAACTGTAAACGATGTAAGAGCTGGTGTATTTTAAATACTGGCCTTGCTTAATTTGATCTAGTTACTCTGGTTATTTGATACTCTATGTTCTATTTGTAATCTATTTGATACTTTAAGATCTATTTGAAATCTTAGAAACCAGCTCTTTAACAGTCAGAAATTTACGTAATTCTTTTTCCTCTCTGAATTTGTATTTCCACCAAGAAATTATTCCAAGGAATGCATGTATATGCTTCAAAGTCTTTCAAAGGGCTCTCAATAATATTTCTATGTTAAAAAGAAAGCTGAAAGTTAAAAAACAAAAACAAAAAACACCTTTTTGTATGACCGTTAAGCCTCTAAGTATTAACATTTTTCTGCTGGGAAGTTATTACAATTACTAACGCACACTTTATTCTAAAAATATTACAGCTTCGGATAAGTACTATCAAACACAAAAGCAAATTTTTACTAAAAATGGGTATCAATCATATCATTTTATTACACCAATTTTTAAAAAATTTTATGGGTGCAATATGTTATTTTTCTGAATGAAATCAAAGGTAAGTCATGGTTCTTATTATCTGCCTTCATGGCCTTTGAAGGTGGATGTTTTATACATTTGTAAGAGATGAATAAATAAATCAGAATGCAAATTCTTAAAAAAAAATCATCGTAAACTATGTACCAAATTTTTGGGTCCAAACTGTGTACAGAATAAGGTGAACTTAAAATGCATTCTATTAACTAATGAGTGTATTTCTACAGTCATAGTTAAGCTAAAATAAAGTTTAAAAGAAAAAAAAGGGATCTTATTACAATCTCATCGAATGGGCCTGGGTTTTTGGTTTTTTATTTGTGTTTCCCAATTAATTCATAGTCATACACAAATACTTATTGCTAGAATGAAGTAAGAGTCAGCATCAATTTTATTCTTGTGTCTCATTTTTAGGATAATCAATAAGGAGCCTTACTTATATAGTAGGTGAAACATAAGTGAGTTTTGTAATAGAAATGTCTTGATTCTTCTAACTCCTTTCCAAGTTATGTATCCAAAAGTTCTATCATCAAAAAATAAATTTGCATTTGAGATATTATATGAGATTTTGAGATAACTGACATATAACATTGTGACAAAAATTATTTTGACAACTCAGGTTTTCTTATTTTGTTGAAAGCAATGAATAAGAAAACTATAAAAAACTAAAAAAAAAAAAATTATCTAGTCATGACATTCAATCACCTTCTTAACACCAGTATTTAAAATCTCCCCTTTGTTTGGTTTACACACCTAATTTATTAAGATTTCAAATGAGTGAGAGGGAACTTTACCCAAATAAAGTGGGAACAATAATAGCGGAAGGTTCCCTTGTCCTCAGGGTCTTCTCAGATCACTAGGAAGTTAAGGGTCTGGACTGTCCTTTCCAGGAACCTGAGCACTTGGATAACCTGGGCAAGTCTTCATTAATGCCCCGGTTACCTTCCCAATTTGGGGACCACCAGTTAAAGAGACATTCTGGTGACAGGCACAGACTTACCTGAGAACACCCATCCAAAGCAAGAGACTCTGTTTCATAGTTCTTCACCTTACAGCCACTCCTGGAAAGAAAATAAAGAAGAAGAAGAAAAAAAAGCAGGCGGGTTTGGAATCACATTGACAACTTCCAAGCTTAAGATGGAGCAGAAGTAGCAATGTGTGCGGACAGAAGCCAAAGCGTGGGGCACCACACAAGTCATACATCAACACACTAGAGGTGGGCACACCTGTTACTGCTCTGCACCTTCTCCCAAGAGCACGGCAAGCGAACAGCTGCAGCTCAGCTCATCCTCTGGGAAAACCTCCTTGGCGTGCTTCAGTGATGTTGACCCCCAGGACTCTGACCCCTACAAGTTTTAATTACCATCAAAACCCTCCTTAGCACCTACAGACATTCGTTCATCTGATCCTTACTCACTTAGCTTTGACTCATTAGAAAAATTACCACACTGGACCAGATTCTTTAGAAAATTTTTATTGCACTAAAAGCCACAGAAATCTGATAAGAGAGCTCCAGACCTGTGTGCTAACAGAGAAGAACAGTGGTCAACGGAAAGTATAAAAATAAAAATACTTGAGTAACTTGTTACCATTCCTATTAAGCAGAAAGATGGAAAATGAACGTCAGTCATATTATGCAAAGGCCAGAACTGGGGAAGGCTCAAACCACTTGTCATTTTTAACCAGTACGTAATTTGTGATCCCAAGACTGGGTCACATTCTGTTTTAATGAACTTAAAATATTTCCAGTAAAAATGCCACTCTAACCGCCACCCTCCCCGCCAAACTACAACTTTTCTTTCTTTGGGAAAAAAAAAGACGAGCATGTTAGTTACCAAAATGCACAGGTCACTATCTAGTTTGTGGTTTTCTATCCTAAGGCTCTTGCTAAAGGCCGCCCCTACTGCCAAACTCAAGCTGACTCTGAAATGTATCCCCTGCTCCAAGCCAGCAGCCTTATGATCCAAACAAAAAGCCACTGCTTTCCAACATGAAATAGCAGCGCCGTCCCTCAGACCTGCTGGGCTCATCTAGGGGCCAAGCCAGCACTCAGAAGGAAGCGCCACGCGAGGTGTGCCAAGCCAGGGAGCGTGAGCTCTCGCACCTAGGGTGGGAAGGCTGCCGTCCACTCCTTTAGGTACAGACGATTGCAAGGCTGGGCTGACTCAGTAGAGGGCAAATGAAATGCAGGAAGTCGCCAGAAGGTCAGACTCAGAAACAGAAGCCAACATGCTATGGAGAGATGGCCTGGGCAGGGAGGGAGAGGAAAAGCCAATGGTCCCGGGAACAGCAGGAGTACTTACAACAGAAAACAGAGAAATTTCACTTGTTCAGTAGTCCTGATGCACCAACAAAATCAGAGACAGGAAAGAGACAGACAGATGGAGAGAAAAATCATGTAAAGCCTGGAATATTTATCTCTAGTCTGGTTGATGTAAATGTTCTATGAGGTGAGATACAAATTAAAAATATTTGTGAATGTTATCACTGGTGAGTGAATGATTATCAGGTACCTCAACCCCACTGGAGTGAAAGTGGTAGAAACACTCAGAAATGCCACATGTCCAAATTTAGAGATGAAAAGTTAACTTCCAAGTATTTGTGAATATTTCACTGTTGAGAACATTTACTCTTCAATGTCCAGTCATCCAGTTTAAAGGCAATGCATGAATAAATAGTTGAAAGTGTATCTGCTTACATCTACTGTAGGCCTGTATCACTAAGAAGATTAAAATGGTTTCACAAAATATATCGTTTGGTCCACAAAATCCCAATCACGGTATGATGTCTCCACTTTACAAATGAAGAATCCAAGATGCCAATTATGTGTGCATCTTTTAAGAAGTCATTCAAGTAACTTGTTAAAACAGCTTCTAACTCTCCATCAGCTTCTACCACTGCGTGGATACTTCCGGTCTTTCCTACCAACAATGGGGTTTGCTAAGCAAAACTCCCAGAGATACCCAAGAGGCTGAGCACCCTTTCCTTGTAGAAAGAACAAGGAGACAAGAGTTTTGATTGCATAGGAGTTAAAAAACAAAACCCATAAGGCATATTAGATCAAGAAGTCCAATCACCAAAAACAGAGGAGGAAAATGCTATTAAGGGAGGGTGGTAGGACTCAAGAGAGGCTGTTTCTTGCTACTAAAAATAAAGTGGAAGATAAATTTCCCTCCCTCTGGCCCAGATTTCATTTATCTAACATGAAGACACTGGCTATGTACCTTCAACATGCAACTCAAAGGAAAGCTCCCAAAGCTACTTATCGACCTTGCTAGCCAAAGGGGGCCTCTTCAGGATAAACTGTATCAGGAAGCACCAAGGCAATGACTTGGCCAACACACACCCCAAGCACTGTCCAGACACAGGCAACCACCCTTAGCCACAGAAGAGCACTTTGAGGACACCCGATAAGAAATAGTTTCCAGCAATCATTTAACTGCTCATATATAATCAAACAGATCAAGAACTACTACTGCCAGCTCATTCCCTTAGACATTCTGGGGTTGCTGAGGAACTGATTCCTATGTTGCCCAAGCTTCTCGGTCCTGCCGATACTTACTGCTCTTTATACCTCTCTCTAGCATTCACCACACCGTCACGCACTTCTCTTTACATCATAGGATTGCTGAGTATCATTTCCTCTACTCAGCTAGGTGACAGCTAGAAATATGGTACCTCTTCTCATCTGCCCTTTATATATTTCATCCTCCATATCACTAGTCCTTCTTTATAGCTAATTTTTAGTAAAATGTCACAGGGTCACAAAGGGATGTATTGTCATCAACTCAAGTTCTGTGATAAGGTAACCCTGTAACAAATTTAAACTGAAACTTGACGCATAACATGCCCTGGGGTTGACCACTGGGGGACTCCAGGGACTTGGTGAAAGGGCTCCAGGCTTCCCAGGAGAAGGAGACGGCGGGAAGGCAGACAACACATGCCAAAACACTGACTTACTGAGTCAGATTTACGTGATCATTTAAAACATTCTTGATTCTCATTGGAAATTCACCTCCTTATTGATGGAGCCAGAAGCTGAACACAGAGACATGAGAATTATCACCAACTTTTAGTGGTAGGGTTGTTTCCAACAAAATATCACAGCTTTCTAAGTGAAAGACCCTTTTGGACCATTTTCCATACATTATCGATATTAGACAGGGATCCTGTGGCGTGAATGTTTGTTTTATCTGCAGACATCTGAAGATGGTGGCTGCACTGAGGCCTGAGTTCTGTACAGCCCAGAGAGGATTTCTGAAACCATCAAATCTCTTATGCCATTTTTTTTTAACAGGAAAAAAGTACCCAAAGTGGGGGGAAAATGTGCTCCCCCGAATAATAAGAACAGGGCAGACATCAAAAGGGAAAGCTCTGGTATTTCTGACTCCACGCAAGAGTTAGGCAACATAGTGAAGAGCAAAGGCCACAGCATCATTACAAGCCTCGTGTCTGCCCCACTGCACCTAAGGTAACTCAAGTTGCCCAAACCTCAAGCAGCAGCTGGCTGCCAAACGCACAGGGAGGATACAGAACACAACGCCCACACCCGCCATCACTCACGTTATTAAACGCGACTTGGCCTTCTTGGGTGATTCTAAGATCTCATTAACGTGACTACCAACAGGGGAACAGAAGTCACCGCTTGTTAACGTTGTGGTTGGTTTAAAGGGAGCCAGGGATCCGTCAAAGTGGTAGGGGCCCTTGGAGGAGAGGGGAGGGGGGTTCTGCAGAGTGGGGTGGCCCCCGAGGGGGCTGAAGGTGGGGTCCTCCCTCTGGTTGGGACCCAGCTGAGAAGATGCTTGGGCGACAGGGGCCTGGCCCGCAGCTGGCTCTGGAAGCTGCTCCGCAGCCTTGGCGCCTCCCGGCTCACTGACGCCCTCTTTCTGTGCCTTGGGAGTCGGTCGGCTGCCCAGTTTCCTTGGAAGGCCTTTCCTGGGATCTGCATTTTCCACGTCTTCTGTGAAATCAAACTCCAGCTGCAGAGGAGAGCCCCGGGCCTCCTCCAGCAGCTCGGCCCCGGGGCCGCCGATGTCGTGGCCGGGCGCCCTGGGCATTCCCTCTCCGCCGGCGGCAGGTTCCTGGGTCCCGCGCCCTCCCGGTGAGGGGGGCGCTGTGCGCCCACCCACCGCACCACGTGCGAGCGGACGCGGGGCCTGCGTCAGAGGTGTGCCCGCCGGCGGCGCCTCCCCTTCCGAGAGGTCGCCGACTGTCCTCTTCCGCAGCGAGACGGGCCTGGGCCTTCTAAGCTTGCTCCTGCCGGGCGCAGGCTCGGGACAGGCGCCCCCGGCCTTCGGCTCCGCCTCTGGGGACGCCTCCAGGGCAGCCCCCGTGGCGCCTTCGGTCATCGCCTTGTCCCGGGCGGACCCTGCGGCGCCGGGGGCCAGAGCCTCGCCGGCGACCGCAGTCACGCGGCCATGGGCGGCTTTGCTTCCACGATCTGCAGGGATATCCGTGGAATTCTTGGTTTCTACTGAAAAGGGCCTCACTACTGAAATTTTGCTAGTATCATACTCGATTTCTTCCCTGAACTCCTTGACTGGGTGAGCATCGATAGCCTTCTGCGATGCTTCATTTTCTGGAGGTCTAGAACGAGTCTCCGACGGACATTTTTCAACCACTTCTGCTACCAGCTGTTCATCAACTTCCTGTGATTCTAAAACAAAACACATAAGCCATCTATTAAAGAATTATCTTTCCGACATTGTTAAATATTCTCTACTAGCTGAATCCACACAGACAAACCACAAGCTGGGCCCTCTCTGCTTTTATTACGCATCTTTAAGGTTCAGTAGGGATGGCAGCGCAGCCTGAAAGGGAACAGCTGGCACTATACCCCAAAACGAATTTTCCATCCCAAATTGCGTGTGTGTTGTATCCAAGTTATACAAATAATAATTATACCAAATAGAGAGCTATTTAGGAAAAGGCTAAAGATATAGCCCCCTGTAGAGCATATTAATATGATGTTAAAATCTCATAGTCTAACACCACTGGTCTGGAAGAAACCTTGGACGCTGACAGCTTAGGTATAGGGGTAAGATCTGGCATTGAGACATACCCCAGGCTTCAGGGTCCCAATTTTAAACACAGAAAATGGATTTTAATCTGTAGATGATAAAAACTAGTACTCTCTCTTCCCTGGAATAGAATTTAAATAATCAGACTGCTTCAAAATCACATGAAAGCCTCACCATGGCCTGCTCAGAATGATTTCCCTGCAGACTTAAAAAGAACCGAATAAAAAAAAAAATAACCTGAAAAAGCTGATACAGAAATGGCTTTAAAAACAAAGAGCCCTTATTTTTCTAAGACACAAATGATAAGACAACAAAGCTGTTTCTTTCTTTAGAGCTCTGACTCTAAGCTGGGCCAGAAATTCTCCCAATCACTTGTGAAAAAGATCCTTTTAAATTGGGGTCTTATCAGGAGAAATGTTGCAATTGGGAAGGTGTAAAATGAGGGTATTTCTTTAAAAGCCACATGAAGAGCATGCTTTCCCTGCCTTGGATATTGGAAATAACAGTAGAGCATCAGCAAGCCTGAACAAATCGGTTATCACCATAGCAGCTCATGATTTTAAAGGAAACTCAGCGATGACCCTCTGATCCTACCTCCCACTCCTAATCCAGGATCCAAAAACTAAACCTCCGTGTAATAGTCTCGTAAAGCCCATCTTTTCACACGCTCCTTGGGTTGGGCAGGGCTCACAAACTCGCCCGCACAGATGCTTCCTTCTCTCAATGTCCAATGTTAAGTTTTGCTGTGAAATATGTATTTAACTATTACTAATACTGTATTTTTTAAAAAGCTCTCAATGCATGATATCCAGGATTTGCTTTAACACACTTTAGTAGAATATTTTTTTAAAAAGAGAAAGTAAATGTGGCAAATCCTGACATACTGCATCTGGGGATGGGTGTCTGGGGGTTTCCACAGCAGTAGGAATATGTACTTTCTATTCACTGTGTGATGTTAGGAGCTAAACACAATACAATTTTTTCTATTACCTAATTTCTCTCCAATTCTTCTCTCCCTGCCACTGACTTCTAAACATTTACCACCTGTGTCCTTCATGGGCTCCCTGGGCCCAAAGACCCCGTCCTTGTGTTCCTTCCCCACAGGCTGACCTGGGGACAGGGAGAGGCCACAGACAAGGAGAGGCAGGGTTCCCCTTAGTGGCCACGGCCTGCCTGAGCAGACAGCTCAAGAAGCTGTGCCAGGGGACTCCCCACCAGCATTCTGTGGCCCACCCAGGCCAGGTGCCAGGGAAATAAATCTGCGCGGGCACTGCAGACCCCACCTTGCCTAGCATCTTCCATCGGCAGTAGGAAGTATTGGCGGGGTGGGAGCGGGTGGGTAGCAGAGGGCTGCTCACTGACTTAAGCCAGTTTTGGGAGTTGTGAGAGTGTAAAACAAGAAAACAACTAGTCAACTACGTACCTCAGAGGTATGCTTGAGTAAGATTTCATGTGCATTTCCTCTGAATCAGCAAGTGTACTGGTGGGCTGACCCCACACCTGCTGCTGCCCTCAAACAGAACCTAAACTTCAAGGTAACTGGGCAGAAGGGTGCAACCCATCTCAGAAGGCCTGACTCGCCTACCTTCCTGCAGTGAGAGCTCTGCCCCAGCTGCCAGTCACTACTTTGCATGTGAAAACGGTGTTACATAACTGACCTCCCTCTATGCATCCTTCCAGTTTTATAAAACCCCGTATTCCTTTAAAAACCTTCCTTCAGGCTGGATAGCTCTCTCCCTGGAATGAGTCTGATGAACTCGGAGGATTCTGACAAGCACAGCGTTGCCTGGAGGCTTGGTGAACACAGACATACATTAGATCAGTAGATAAAGTCAAAGCAAACACACAGGAAATCCAAAGATAGACCAACACCTCCACTCCTGCCACATTTGTTGTGGTTAATTAAATTCTTCCATAATCAGCCTCCCCTAAACCCACAGGGCTGTGTGACTTGTGGTGGGTGCTCTAAAACAGTACCCGCCTGCTTACACTTATTCAGGACCGATTATTCTCATATAAAAAGAGATCTCCCCTCCCCTTTACAATACTTTTAAAAGAAAGGGCACAGAATGCCAAAATTTTAAAGACAGACATAATGACACCCTGGTTTGCACTCCAGTATATTGAAAATACACTGGGTTAAAATTCAAGTTTATGAAAAACCTTGAAAGCCTTAGAAGAGGGGAAATTCCATTCACAAAAACTATTTTTGAAACTCAGAAATATATTTGCCTAACATATTCTGAGAACCCACATGGCCGCTGCTCTCACAAGTATAATCTCATTTCAGAGGTCATGACACAGAACCACTTGGCAAACAATGTACAGTAACTTGGGATCTGGTATTATTCTCAAACAGGGTTGACTTTTGACAAAAGGTCTGCAAGCTCCTCTTAGATCTGTCCATTGCTTCCTCTCCTTTAGCTATGGAAGGTCCTTTTTACCGGTTTCTAAATACCTGACATGTAAAGTGAGGAAGCTGCAAAAATTTGAACAGGCCCCATATGGCACAGACACTGGCCTCTTCCTAACCTTGAAATCCAAAAACGGTAAGGCACCCAAGACTACGATGCGAGGTCTGGCTCTAAGGCAATAGTCTTACAACAAAATCTCAGAACCAATCCATGAAAATGAATGGCCTCTAAGGGATTCAGGAAAGATTCTTAGATAAATTTTCAGAGGGTCCATGGAGCCCCTGAAACTAAGTGAAAAACTGTGTCAGAATGCCCTCCCGGGGAGAAATCCCAAAGCCTCCCTCAGGCCTGGTGTTTGGGAAGCACGGCTCCAGAAGACTGTACTTTGGGACCCTGAGGGTCCTCCAAAGGGTGCCTCTCATTGCTTTACAGTTCTTATTTCAATCCCCCCACAAATCTCTACAGTGGGGCTGAAATACTCTCAGGCTACTTAGGAAGAAAATCTTAACATCAAAGACAAAGCATGTCGCCTCCAAGAACACTCAGAAGGCATGTGTTCCAAGTGCTGTTTTAAGAAGTTTTAAGTGTGGACTAAACCTCTGAGAGGGAACACTCACTAAAACACAAATTCCAACAGGAATGTTTAAACAAAAGGCAGCCACCCTGTATCATTCATGGTGCCAGCGAGACAGGCCTGAAGGGTAAAGCTGGGGGGGATGGTTCATCGGCACACGGCGAGGTAGGAAGGGTCACTCGCAGACCACCCTGGGTGGAGACTCACCCCAGGAACAGTGGGTATGCAACCTCCCCTGGAGCCTGCCTCATGGACTGTGTGCCACGCGCTGGGCACCGCCAGCAGGCAGCCAACTCTGGCCTCATCTGCACACCCTTCATGCTTTACCTACATGGAGCTAAGTTCCTCTAGTCACTGTTGGATATTTAAAGAACATGCATGGGAAGGGGATCCAAACCGATAGCCTGCCTGGTGAACCGTGGCCGTGGGCTGGCCTCAGGTGCAGGTCTGGTACCGAAAAGCCCTGGTGGGCAGGCTCACATGCTGGATATGCAGGAAACACCAGATGTGCAGGAGAACCAGGCAGCAGAGGAGCTGCCTCTCATGAGAGGACAATGTGAGGCGAGAAAAGGGAGGAAGTCTCCTTTGACTACTGTGTCAGGCATGATGACCGAGCATTTTACAAACAAAAACGCATGAAGTCAACATGAGGATTAAAGAGGACGCACAGAGATAATCTCATGTCTCAAGGACTAAGAATTGGAGGTAGCAAGCAATTTTAGCAAGCAACCAGATCATAAACCCTCCTCACCATTTCCCATTTCAAAAAGTACTGTCTCTGGTGCCTTCCACTGAGCTGAAACTGAGAATAAAGTCTATGTAATAAAAGATACAAGCAATAATTTAAAAAAAATAAAGGCCAAAACATACTTGAAAAATGAGCCCACTATCACACTATTAATAAACAGGATACCAGTTTAACCCATCAGATTTATAAAAATTAAAATACTGGTGATTCTCAGGGACAGGTGCTAGGCTCACATATTCTGTGGGAAAGCATACGGTGGACCCCTCAGGAAGTGCTCAGCAACACGTACCAAAATCCAAAATGAATATTCTTCAGCTCATCACTTCCACTGCTAGGAATTTAATTATTCTCACGAAGAGGGCTGAACGCACATATGTACAAGGATGAGAGTGGTCCCTGAAGTGTTGGTTCCTACACACTTTTTTGTACTCTCTAATTAGAAAGTATGGTCCGGGACTCAGAGATAACTGAAAGTGTAACCTCACACTGGACTCCTGTATGGTATTACACAACGAAGCAGACCTGGCCGTGCTAATACAGGAGGGACTCTAAGACACACAAAGGGAAGAATAGTGTGGGAGATATGAGACCTTCTTCAACGTAAACATATAAAGACATAAAACTTCTATTCTGAGCACAAAATCCTTCTTATTGAGCACAAAAATCTCTTCTGACCCCAAACCTAATCCCCTCACACCCATTTATCCTGTATCTCCACAAGATTCCCATTTCCAACCCTAACCAGCTCCATCTTTCCTCCTCCAAGGCAGAAGGGTAGAATTGAGTGTTTGGGGCTATTCTGAACCATCTCCCTCCTAAAAAATTCTTAAATACACTACTATTCTAACTGTGCTTGGAGCTCTAGATCCATTATGTTAACTACAGTTTACAGATGAAGAA